AAACAAGTCAGAGGGTCTTGTTGTGAAAGAAATCCCTCTTCCCCTTTTCCCTTACCTTTGTTGAAGACACCAGATTAATTATAACAAGATGTCTGAGTCATCATGAGGGCTCCCTATGATTAAGATTAGACTGCGAGTGAACTGAAGCCAAAGGCGGCCTGCTGTTAAACATATTAAAGCAGAAAATAGTCTGTAAACTGTCTGTTAACACATCTCATAGGGCCAGACCGCCTGAAGGAGAGCTGGAGCGCAGCATGGACAGGAAGGGACTGTTAGCATTTAGCCGCTTTAGCAAACAAACTGGTGCATCAACTGGACCTTAGTTATTATTATATATGGGTATTCAAGATCTAATTAGGGAGGCAATTTAGGAAAGATCAGTGGAAGAATTAGTGGAAGAATTGGAATACATCCTTGTGAGGGTAACATCTTTTATAGCTCCAGCCTCACAACTGGTGTTGCTTTTTACAACCATTTTTGTACTGAGCAACCATCTTGATCGTTAATCAGTTTTTAAAAGGTCTGACTGAGATGTTTGTTGAGCCAGAGGGTTGATTTTATGAGGACAATGGAGAATGAGGACTGTGTTATTTGTGAGACTCTTCACACTGCCAGGGACCTGAATGACTTCATTGAGCTTTATGATGGTGAGTGGTGGACCATTAACTGACCAGATCTGTTGTTACTGTGACTGATCTTTGTATTATCTAAATGCTAAATCCTTTCTGTAGCCTGTCTCAGATAAGTGTAATAGTTTGTATTTATGCATAAACTGTATGTTAACAGTTTCCCTTAAGCGTAATCAACAAATCCCATCTTAAATAAACATGACTGAATCTTTGCCTCACTGATTATGCATGCTCTTTTTGCAACTCTTAAGAGGCCAGAACTGTACAACAGTACAGTGTATATTTCAAAATACGTTCAACATATAAGAGGAACCTGCTTTGCGTGTTTTGATCAGCACATTCTAAATATATAAATGTGTCTACAGTATATTTAAATACATGTCAATAAATACACATATAAAATGTCTTATCAGGGTTCCCCATACATTCATTTATTTGTAGCAACCCATCTCTATATCATTATTTGCCAACACACTGATTTTCTAATTTTGGAGCTGGACTGGTCGTTAGGAGTGCTGTTGTAACATACTGTTCCGTTATTCAGAGCACCACACTCTCAGAGCACAGAGCAAACTCTAGCTACAGACAAACTAGCAAAATGGCAGGCGCAGTGATACTGAAACTTAAGGGTACACATGAGCGAAAGTAACACCGGCAAATTTTCGGTTCCTGTTCACTTCCATTCAGTGCAAGCAAAGGGGGCAAATAAAACATTTGTCTGTCATGTCAGACGCTTCCCACATTTAGCACAGTATTGTCTTGGCAGGCGATGGTCAATTGCCTGCATTTGCTCGTGTGTTACTGTACTCTAACCATTCATTAATCCTTGTAGAAATACAACACTCTATTTCGTAGAACAGGGGTGTCACACTCATTTTAGTCCAGGGGCCACATACACTCGAATGTGATGATAGTGGGATGGACCTTTGAAACCATCATCCATCGCATAATATTGCAGTGAAGATTCTTGATTTTTAGGATGGATTTAGTGTGAAATGTCTTGTACTCAAGTATCTCAGTTATTTTCAGGAATTATGGAGCAACCTTTTTTTTTTAAATGGCACATCAAGTTTCAGATTTTCAAAGTAAAAATGTGGGACTTTTACTTTGGAATATCTCTCAATCAGACGTTGCACTAGACTTTTTCTCGCCGGTCATTTTGACCGACAGGGTCATAAAAATCCGGTCATAATCTATTTTTACCAGTCATTTAAATTTTCGCTTCTAAATGATAATAAAGATATTTAAAGACATTTAGTTTTCATTTGTTCGTTTTTAATAAATCCAACAAGCAAGTTATAAAGTGTGCATTAATAAGGACATGAATGAAAAGATGAACAGACATCCACACACACCGCAGCGCTTCAGTTTGGCGTCTGGTCTATTTTTCACACGAGCCGCGAGCGCTTCTGTCAAGCTGGATAGAGCGGATCGTACCAAACAGGAAGTCGGACACAGAAAAGACGAGAGAATCCGGCCAATTTTCAAAATAAAATAACAACAGCATGCACGATGAACGTGAGGAGAAAATACCGTGTTTATAATTTAAAATAACACAACAGTGCATAACCGAACACATTTTTCAATACCCTAATCACTTCATTACAATTTTAATTTTGTGTCACCGAACCTACAGACATAACTACATGAATTAAATGGTCAGAACAATATGCCCTATTCATTCAGTGTTAATCCAACACGCTCAATACATGGACATGCAATGACAAACTGTCATTAACTTATTACGTTATAAAAAACGATTAAAATATGGCCTTACCCATGTTTAAAATGACCTGTTGATGTGAAAAAACAAGTACTGACGGGAACAAACTAGTGGAGTCGATGTTTAACCGGCGCGGAGAGCGCAGGAGAAATGCGCTGCCTGTGTGGACAGTCAAGCGCCTGCGAGTATATTCGCAGGACTTCTGCGGCACTACCGCATCTGGTGTATCCAGGCCGTTATGTCAACAACGCTACATGAAGCAGATGAATGACTTTTTCTCTGCAGTGTGAAAACGGCAGCCACTTAAACCACTTACTGTGCACTCCGCCGCCAAGTGGGCAGGGGTGGTAATTGCAACCGGTCAAAATGACCGACGGCCTTCAGATTTTCCGGTCATTGTTGTAAAAAACCGGTCAATGACCGAAAATTTCCGGTTAACGCGACCCCTGCTCTCAATACAGATACAGTAAAAATACCTGAGTTTTGTGTCTGTATGTCATCAGACTTGTCCTCAACATCAGGAATTATCTTTGTAATTTTTATTTCCAGCGACCCAAAAATCAAACAATAAAGACATTTCCCTCAGAAGTTAGTGGTATTTACTTTTCAGTTTATAAGGGACTTTAAACAACAGCAGTCTCACTTTAGAGTTGTCCTTTGTTTTCCAACCTGCTGTGTTCCCATGTTCCCATGGAAGCCGTGCACTTCCCTGGCCAGTGATGGGTCTAAAGGTTTGCTTTTACGTGCCTCTGCAGGAGCTGCTCCTCTAATTCATTGATCTGATCATAAACTGATTGTTCGATCAGTTCAGTTTAGACGGGACACTCACATACACACACACAAATAAAACAAAGTTTGCTAATCCACAGTCATTCGAATTCTGTGGGAAACACTGGTCTTGTTTCAATACATGCACTGGCAGGGAACTTGAAATCAACATGTTTGCAGCTCCTCTCTGCCAAACTGCATTCCAGCTGTACTTCAGATCTAGTGGTTTAGAAATTATTTGCAGAACTGACAATAACTTGCTTTTTCTCTTTCAAATGTAAAGTACTTAAAAACCAAACCTCATGTGGGATACATGGTAATGTGCTTTATCTGAAGATTCTCTTGCTCGCAGCTGTTTGTGCTGAATTATTTTCTGTGGCTTTCATTATCGCACTGAGGCTCTTTGCTTGTTCAGTCAACACACAGACCAAATACTTTCCAAACTGAATTGGGCAAACCGCTGGGTGTTAGCTACCATAACAACCTGCTTTTATAAAAGGTAAAGTTATTATATGTAGTCGTAAACACCTGGATAATTTCACAATAGGTGAACAAAACTCTTTGACTGCCCACTCTTTAAATGAAATGAACACTGACATGGTGAGGGCTGTGGTGAAACATCTGTGATTCTAATGAACAAATATAAACTATTATGAGGCCTTCAGCTGACAGTTACATATTACCCAAACACCGGATGACGCATTGTGCTTTGATTTATGTTTTCACTGAGTCTTCCATAACTACCCTGGAAGCTCAGTTTGGCTTTCCTCCTTCTGTGTCATTGTCTAAAGCAACCATGTTTTGCCGATTGGTTTTGTGTGAGTTGCTGAGTGTTGGAGATATCGGCTGTAGAGATGTCTGCCTTCTCTCCAGTGCAATGTAACTAGATGGCACTCAGTTTGTGGTGCTCATAGAGCCAAAAAATACATTTCAAAAACTCAACATCAATGTCTCTTTCCAGAAATCATGACCCAGTTACTCAAGATAATCCACAGACCTTTTTGTGAGCAGTTTTATGTAGGAACTATTTTTTTTCTACCGAACTACTCCCACCAACCGTATCACTGTGCAAAACAAAAAGTGCATCTACTGCTAGCTCACCTAGCACCACTTAGCTAGCTAACGTTACAACTCAGCCGAGCACAAGCCTCTCATCCATGAGTAGATGCACAGCTCCTTCTGTGCGGAGATGCGGTTGGTTGGTGTAGTTAGCTAGAAAGAAAATAGTTCCCACATGAAACTACTCACAACAAGGTCTGTGGATTATCTTGAGTAACCAGGTCATGATTAATGGAAGGAGACATTGATGATGAGTTTCTCAAAAGTATTCTTTCCATCTAGTTTCAATATGCTGGGAAGAAGGCCGATAGCTCTACAGCCAGTATGTCTAACACTCAGCAGCTCACACCAGAACAATCTAGACTGATAAACAGCACTACAGGTAAGAGTAAAAATATGTACTTTTGGGGTGAAGTGTTCTTTAAATCATAAGCACTCTTGTGGTCATTATAACAACGAAACCAACATTGACTATGTGAGACGGATACAAATCCTCTGCTGTCGAGTTTGAGTTGGTTTCTGTCATTTCTGTCATTTTTCTGGAGAAGACAGTGATGTCCAGTCGCCTTCAGTCTCGTGGTGTCTGCCATTAACTGCTTTCTCTGAGCCAGTGAGATACACAGCAGCACACACACTGTTGCTAATAATATGAGCAATTTAGGATATCGAGACTACTCCACAGTCTCACTCAGTATAAATAGTTTGTATATAGCATCATGACCTTAATGCCTGTGATTTAAATTTGCACTGCTTGAGTGATTTATTGTTTTGATGTGACTATAAATTAAACCTGACATTGTGTGTTTCTTCCTCTCTAACAGTGGAACAAGAACAGATCCAGAAGAAGACCTTCACCAACTGGGTCAACGCTCAGCTGGCAAAGGTGAGCTGTGTCTCTGAACTCTGTCTCAAAGCTTTGTAGTGTATTCATTAAAAAGCATACAGCTTGTTTTAGCTACATGCCCTTTACTGCTGCTGAAATGACCCAGTATGCCGCCAGAGGTGAATTAAGTTCATTTACCCAGTTAATTTAAACACAGCAATTTCCACTCCCTAAACTGAGCCGATGCAACTTAATAACAAAAGTCGGTGAGCTTGTGCATGTGAGGGCATGAGCTGAGGGATCACGACTTGTGCTCATCTGCACACATATTCCCTTAATATAAAAAGGTTAATTAAAAAATATGGTGCATCTATCTGTTATTAACCTCTCATGATAAATATGTTTCTGTAACCAGTGACTTCCAGTAACACACATTTTGTGTGAAAATAATGTGTTCAATCAATAGTATTAGAATGAACAGAATGAAGAATGAAGCTTTTTCTTTCTTATGATTTCTGAGAAAATCAAGAAATAATTGGTTGTGCTAATTAACCTCATCAGTGACAGCATGAAAACTGTACGAATCTATTTTTTTACCCTCGGGGGTGAATGTGCAAAGAATAGATTGCGGTCTCTGATAGCACCATTAATTGCACGTCACTTGCGAATGCTATCTGCCTCGTCTCAGGGTCCAATTCACAACAGATATTGCACTAATGATATAACAGCGTAAACATGCCCATACAGTTTTACAGCTGTGTGAAATTCGCACTTTTTCTTGTGTGATTGCAGTTACCCATGTGGTAAAGTATAGATGTTGCCTTTGAGCCCAAAACACAGTAGGCAGAATAACGGTAGAGGGAACGAGAAAACTGTAATTTCAATCCGCTCATTTGCATAGAAATGGGAAAAATTTGCGCCAAGTGTTTGCATATTACCTAACTCAAATACCGTAAAACATCAATTAATGGCTCGGGTTATTATTTGCTTAAATCAGCTGGGTTATATTTGGGATAGGCCTTTAATTCCTTCCACACAGAACTGTTGCTTAGCAAAGATCAGGAAATAAAATCAATTTGTTTATGTAAACCAGTATGAATATAACTAAAAATTAGGCTTCAGATAATCAGTCATTTGATCTACCCCCGGTTTTATACATCTGAAGAACTTAGCAACCAGACCAGGGCTCTAATTGAGACAGGCGTTTATTTGTCAAAATGTATAACCATACCAGGCTATTAAAAGGGATTTGGCATTAAACTGGGACCAGGCTTTTAATTGAAGTTTTATGGTGTGTGCAAACAGCACAGGAGCACCAAGATGCTACTTGCTTGGCAGCTCAATTAGGGGTGCATTTAACCTTTTGCGAGTACTTTGAGAATTACGCAGTTTCTTTTTGTCTTAAGTGGCTGTAAAAACTGTGCAGTCCCTTCATGTATTTGCCCACCAGTGTGCATACTGGGGGGAAACGCATCACAACAGCACATTTGATTTTATATTTGCTACCTCTAAAACATTTAGCATCTAGTCTAAGGACACCATTCACTGTTGTGTCAGCTGACGATACCAAATTCCTCTAAAATTTCTCAGAGCTGAGGAAACCAAAATAAATCCAATTATCAATACAGCATGAAAATCACGACCACATCCAACTTTTTATGACCATTGGAGGGCTTTTTGCAGTCAACAGCTTGTTTTTGCAGGACATGGCCTGAATTTCGATCTTTGAAACATCCGACAAGTCTTTTTCCTAAACTACCTCTTAACATGAGTCAGCAACAGATTGTCAGCTCTCATTTTGGAGGTCAGCTGTGAGTGTGACAGTGGAGGACAGAGGGGTGGAGGTGGGGAGCTGTGTGTACATAAATAAAGCCTTGAGGACCAAGGTTCACAGCACACAGACAGACAGCAACAGACGGCCACCATCGTCCCCTCCCCTTCCCTTCCCTCCACCACCAACACCCACCAAACACACACCCTCGATTGGATGTCCAGCCAGCTCTGGGCTCAGTGTTGGATTCATTTGAGACTCTGCCAATAAACAGAATAGTGGAGATAATTGTTAATCCTATGGTGGTCATCCACATTAGGGCTCACATTACAACAGTGCCTTTTGTCACATGTGACAGTAATACTCAGTGTCCACTTTGGAAAGTCCTAAATCACTGACATTCAACAGGCAGTGTTAGTAAGCAAAGGTTATTCTGTGGTGCAGACAACCTGATGATAAATTCTTCAGGAGAAAGGTGTTAATTCCTTTCTACTGACTAAATGATACAGTCATGTTATATTATTTATAGGCTAATCTGGGACTTGTAATATGTGTTCAAGGAATTATCTTTTAGGTTTGTTTTCATATTCAGTGTTTCCTCCTCCTCCCATGTGTTACTCTCAGATGTTAATTAAGGCCATGGACTACAAGGTTAAAGATGATTTGCAGTTAAGAGGCCCTATTAATTAGGAAGGAGAATTAAGATGTATGTTGCTGTTATAGATTATTTTTAATGGAAGAAAAAATAGCTGATACTTAACTGCTGAATATCTCAACACAAGAAGACAGAAACTGAAAATAGATAACCGGCGGTATACTGCATTTTTTAAGGCTGATACCCACAATGCCCATCAAGTATTGCCCTCAAATATCACTATGGACATTGTATTATCATAAATATAAAATGAAATCTTCAATTTGCAGTCTTTCTAGAGTACAAGAGTTTAAAGACTACTTTTTACTGCAACTACTGCACTAACAATTTCCCTCTGAAAAAAATTAAAGCTTTGTCTTGTCTTGTCTTGTTAAACAAGGATGTTGGGATGTTATTAATTTGGTAATAAAAGAAAAGGATCAAGATATGTATAGCCCACATAAACTGTATAAAATAATGGACGTAGCCGCCATGACGTAACCCATTGGTTTGTAGACTCCGGCTGATTCTGGCTGTCAACATCTTGGTTTTTTGTGGCCAGACGTGACTATAGAGGGTCTTTTAGTGCAACCAAATGCTAAACAAGACTTCTGCAGGTGACCAAAATGTTACAATTAATTTACAGCTAGGGTTACCGAATCAACATCGGTGCCGTGATAGCGACTTGCAACACCCACTTGTCACTCAAAGCAACCACGCCCTTTATTATGCATAATTTAGAGCCTTAATAACATGTAAACGTCTAATTTGTCATGAACGAAGAAATTGGCTAAAATTTAAACATGGGTGTGGAAGGGATGGACTCGCTTGTGGAGTCAGCCGCAAGTGGCCATTAGAGCAACTGCGATTTTTGACACTTTAACGTCAGCTTTATTATTTAGCCCTGGAGGTTCCTGCCTGACTGCACAGGATATTTCAGATTTTAGATTTGAAATATAAACATCTCAGTGCCCTCTGATGGACAGCGGAGTCATGGCAACAGTGTACCCCAAAGACCTCAGACATATCTCGGGCATTTCTGAACTGCGACCTGGTCTATATGCCGACACAAACACGTCTCTGATCAGTTAATAGTAGGTAACTTTAACGCTTTAATAAATCATTGTTCCCTCTGTCAGTGGGCTGCATCTAGCAAAATATAACCATGCAAAAATGTGATAAATGGAATATAGTTAGGCCAAAAATCAGGTTAGTAAAGCTCCTTTCCCACTGCACAAAAAAATGCTAACTCCCACTAACATCAGGCTTTTTAATACAGCAGAAATGGTTTTAATTGACATTCACACCCGGGTCAAATGACTCCAAGGTAGTCACAGGTTATCACCTCTGGCTCTGGTTAGCATTGATAAGAACACAACACCTGGATGGATGAGCTAATTTTAGCCCCTTAACTAGCAAGATGCAATGATGAGCCATCACATAACACTGTCTGACATCACCCAAGCAGTGCTCAAACATTATGCCAAATTAGTCTCGCTGAGTTCGAGAGACAGACTGAGTGAGTAAGAGATAAAAAGAGGTAACCACCTAGAGTTGTCTTTCCTCTGTGCTGCTGTCTCATATTGTTGTCTGCTGTTTACCTGTTCTCCGGCCTGTCTGTGATGTCGACACTAATTCTGGAAACGGGGTTTAAAGCTATTTACCAAATAATAATCACAATAAATTTGTCATTATAAAACTTGACTCATCATAAAAACTAAATAAATTTGTTACTAGGGTGCCAGTAGTGCCACAGGAAATACGTACATACAGTATAATATTGTCCTTAGCCGACTGCAGGCACGGCCACATAGTGTTTGTTGTGACAGACTATGAGGTCTGTTTTTCAATTCCATCCTGATTGGTTCAGAATTGGTGCAGAGTGGTTTCATTATGGTGCTGCAGCAGTCGCCTTTAATAAATAGTGTGTGCGTATTGCTTGACAGTTATTTATTGTTGCATGACAGAGATCAGAACGATGATTTGTGGCCTTTCAAACGCAAACTGTAAAAGCACAATAATCATCTTTATCTGGAGAAGATTTTCCATGTCCAAAATCTCAGTTTCTCAGAAACTAACAAACAGCCTTGTCTTGAGCTTGGCCACCACGACCTTTAAAGTTTAACTGATTTTAATTGGATGTCACAAGGAGCAAGTCATCCCTCAGCTTAAGCCACATTAACATAAAAAAATCAAAAGCTGCGATTTGGATTTGTCATCTCCCAGTTTTCCAAAAAGAAAAGAAAGAAAAATGTTGTACACGTCATCAATTTTAAGACATAATTTAACACCAGTGATAAGAAAGTCTCTGTCTTTCTGAGAAAAATGGTTACCAGAATTCTTGTGTAAGCATGGCTAATTTAAAAGGGTACTTTGCTGATTTTCAGCCAGCTTTGTATCAAAACAACGTGGGCAGTATGTGCAAATGAACGGTGGTACACTTCTCTCCATCTCACCAGCGCCTAGATATCCCTCCTTTCGCCCCACAGCTGAAGTCCGCTGGATTACGTAATTTACAACACCTGGCTCTCGGGCTGTTGCTTGAACTGTGGGCTGTGCTTCCGCATTTTCGTATTGCCCACCACTCATGCCGCCACTACAGACACAAACAGTATAAAGCAGGGGTGTCAAACTTATTTTAGTTCATAGGTCACATACAGCCCAGTTTGATCTCCATTGTATAATAACCTGTAAATAACAAAGCCTTCAAATCTCCTCCTTTAGTGTAAATAAGTAACGTTACAAGAAGCTTACATTATTTAGTAATTCATTTTACCTTATATCTTTTTTCTCTGTACTCTTTTCTGTATCCTTTATTATGTTTCATATTTTATTGCTCTGTAAAGCACTTTGAACTGCCCTTGTGTAAGAAATGTGCTATTACAAATAAAGCTGCCTTGCCTTGAAAACGTTAACAATTAATGAACAATCAATTTACTAAACAATACAAGTCAAAATACCAATGCTATTTTGTTAGCACCGAGGTTGTAGGTTTTTTCCCTCTTGAATAAAAGTGTCCTTTTCTTTGTTTTCTCTGGTTCTCTAGCACCACTGTCAAAAGTATTTGTGTCTGTCTACTGCATAGACATCCTAGCTTTATTAAAAGGCCATCACTCCAGCTGTGAAATACATGTCTGCATATTAAATCTGTATCAATAGAACAGGTTTTGTAGCCTCTGTGTAGCTATCACTGTTTTATAGCTGCAACTGTAAACATAAATAACATGAAATGTGTGTTTGCTGTGACAGCGGAGGCCACCATGTATGGTCGTGGATCTGTTCCATGACTTCCGTGATGGCTCCAAACTGTTGGACCTGCTGGAGGTGATGAGCGGCCAGCGCCTTGTGAGTCCCCTCTCAGTTCAACATGCTTTCCAGTCAACAGCCGATAGTTTTAATGAGCCCACTGACTGACTCTGAGGTTGTGTTTTGCAGAGTCGGGAAAGAGGCAGAGGAATGTTTCAGCACAGGAGCAACATTGAGAAAGCCCTTTCCTTTCTAAAGAAGAAGTCGGTAAATGACACACTAAAGGAGCTCACATGCAGTCACCACACATATAGGGAGAACTTTACTACTGACACAAACAAAATCAGGGAGATGATGCAGTTTGGGAACAGATAATAACATTGACATTGTATTTATAGGTTAAACTGTGATAACTGCTGTCCCATTCACCAACTGGAAATGTGTGCAACTTGAAAACTGTCCTGTTTTCTCCCCAGATCAAACTAGTCAACATAAACATTCCTGATATTATTGATGGTAAACCGTCCATCATCCTTGGCCTCATATGGACAATCATCCTACAGTACCATGTGAGTTTAATATGCTTACATTTCATAGGTTTTCCTTTTCTTTATTTCTTCTTCTTGTCTGTTAGGGGTCATAATTTCCTGTTGATCTTTCTGTTTTCCTTCTTACCTCACCGAGATAAAACATCATGTTATAAGACGCCAGTTTTTTGAGAATGTTGAACAGTTTTCTCTTATTTTTCTGCACTTTGATCATTTTCAATTTCTTTTTGGATACAATAATTAGATTTGAGTTGATTTCTTGGTGGCAGTTTTACAGCTGTTATCAACCAACGAGCGGTATAAATTAGTGGAGCGAGGAAACCAATTATAATGCTAAAATTGAACACATTTATTTAAGCTTAATAACTTTAAAAATTTTGTAAGCAAAAGATGTCCCATGAGATTCTGGTGTCATTTGTGTGATGTTAAGTTTCTTATCCTCTACATCAGAACTGGTCTCCCTTCCCTTCTCTAATCTTGCTTGTCCAGCTGTGAAGCTTTTTTCTGTATCTTTACACTTTTTTTTGCTGAGATACTGAGTGTCCAAATGTAAATTGTGTGTTGGTGGTTTTCTTAGATCGAGGAATTGGCCAGCGGCCTTTCTTTCGATTCCCGTCAGTCCTCCATGGAGTCTTTGGCCAGTCTAGACTCCCGCTCCACCCTGTCGAGCCGCTCAGCCGGCAGCAGTCCCGTCCCTCCTAGAGGCTCGCCACTACACAACCGATTCAGGGTTTCTGCCAAGAAGGCCCTGCTGCTGTGGGTCCGCGAACAGTGCCACAAGTAAGCACCCGATCAGCTGAATGGTATCAATGAACAAGGATACATTTAAATGTGTTGTGAAGGGTTTATTTAGGGTTACAATGATATCGACTTGTCAAAGCCTTGAAAAACATTAAGTGCTCTGTTGTGGGCCAAGTGAAGGATGTAAGGAGTGACTGATTCTCACACAGGGACTTCCTGGTAATTTCCAGGTCTGGGCTAAAGATCAAAACCTGATCAGCGCTTTGCTGTCTGAGCTGTAGGTGTTCAGATGCTGCCTGCCAAAACCTGTTAAAACACTTTCCTCAATACATGGGCTTTAAGAGTATTTTGTGTTACATATTTCATTCCTGTCTATAAACGTGAAATATTATCAAGTTCATGTGCTTCTTGCTGCCATTTCGTATTGTGTTCTCCAGTTAATAAGCCCATAACATAGTTTTGCAAATAGACTTTTGATTGTACATGGAGCTCTATCAGTACTACATGGAAATCTTGATACATACATACATACCTGAAAAGTATTTACCAGGATGTATTTTTTATATTAAACACTTCAAAGAAATATTCATGTACCCATTTTAAAAGTCTTCCACAAACAAAATAAAGCAACACAACGTGGAGCCCCAGCCCAAAGCAAGGCAGTAGTAGCAGAAGTACAAGTTTTGAAAACTAATTTTTAATTAAGTTTTTATTATTTTACCTTTATTTTATTGGTCCAAACATTATTGTTTTTTCCTTAAAGTCCTGCACTTAGTTTTAAAATATGCCTTATACTTACTTTGAATACTGTGGGTGGTTTTTCTCTGTCTTTTATATTGTTGGATTCAGTCTATTTATTGTCCTGCTTATTGTCTTTTTAATCCGTGGTGACATTCATAATTTTAATCTTAGCAGTTAATGGGTTCTGCTTGTTTGTTCTTTATCTTTAACAATTCTGAATCTTTTTAGCAGCAATGATATTCATTGTTGTCTCTGGCTGGTAATACTACATCAGATCCCTCTCATATTTTGTTTTATGAATATCAGCTTTTGCCGTCTGGCGGCGTCTTCAAAGTCCTACAAGCTTGATTAAACAGGTTGAGGAACTCTTTTGTTCGTCAGTCTGTCAAACTACTAAATCAGAGTTTGTTGGCCTCTGTGTACCTGAGTTGAACACTGATTATAAAAGGGAGCAATTAAATTGTTGGCACTGCATCTACTTTTCGTAATGTCTGATGTGATGTGTAGCATTTGTAGTATTGTTTTGTTTGGTTGGGTAAATGTTGTGTTTTGTATTTTTGTATGTGTATTTATGTGAAACGGTGTATGTCCTGGGACACAAGACAAATTTCAGATAGTATTTTGATAATTAAGTGCAGTCAAATCAAGTATCCAAACAGACACACAGACAGCACATGCAGCATCAATGATCTTTATTATAATAGTAATAAAATGATTTGTCTTCCTCAGAGCTGGCTGTTCAATAAATGTGAAAGACTTCAAAACTAGCTGGAGGAGTGGAGTGGCCTTCCTGGCGATCCAGTACGCTCTGCGGCCGGACCTGGTGGATCTGTCCAAAGCCAGAACCAGAAGCAACAAACAGAACCTGGAGGAGGCCTTCAGCATCGCAGAGAGAGAGCTGAGGATCCCCAGACTGCTGGATCCTGATGGTGAGTCACTCTGCTGTTTTCAGGAAGTATCATAGCAATATTTTTAAAATATTATATGCTCGTGACATTAGAAAACATTTGTATGTAGCCTTGGCTAGTGGAGGTCTCAACTTGAGCCTAATTTAATTGTTCCTCACTTGTTAATTTGGTGCTGTTGCTGCACTACGTTAGCAGATGTCTCACCTTGAGATAACCGTTCATTCAGTCTCGTTCAGTGAGTGTAGCAGCCGGGCTGTTTGGACTAGAGTTTGATTCAATCGCTTCTCATTTACTCTCAACAGCAAGTGGGAAAAGTGGGGATTTATGAGCATTCAGACATTCAACAGCCTGACCCGGTATATGAAGCCCAGTTCAGACCAAAGATTTGCGATGAGACGAGTTAAAACAGGCAACTACTTGCAAAGCGTCGTTCTGCAACGTTCTAAAAACCTGCTTGTTCACACCAATGCAACCAGATGAGACGGTGTATCATCTCTGTGCAACAACTCTCTGTCTTTCTGTTCTCATTTGCACCTTCTCAGGCTTATTTTGTGGCTAAATATAATTTGTAGCTTCTTAAAATATGAACGAGGATAGTGATAGTGAGATACTGGCTTCAGCTGCTTTTGTAGTAGTGATGAAACCGTGAAAAAAAGAAACAAAACAAGCAGCAGCAGCGGCCCACTGTCCGACACTGGCACACCGTGATGACAGAAACAGAGGGCTCGGCAGGGATGGAGCACCTGCTGCAGCAAGTGGACACACCGTCTTCTGTCATTTTGACTTGACCAGCAGACTTCACTACAAGTCTACTGACTGTTGAAACAGGTGACGAGCTTGATGTTCTCAAACCAGCCACCGGCGATTTGACCAGTTGAGTTGCAGGTGACGCCATCAGCCAGCTTGAGCCGAGTTCAGACAGTCAGCTCACACTGCTTCAACTTTTCTCTGCAACGTTCTAAAACGGTTTTGTCTCGTCGCGCATCTTTGGTCTGAACTGAGCTTCACGAACATTAAATAGAGTTGTTCAAAAAGTTTAAAACATTTATTTAGCCCATCACTACGTACGTTTGCTGGCCACTGGTCTTCCTGTCGGCCCATTGATGTGAAACTAGAAGCCAGTGTTTTCAAATATGATAAGCTGAGACTGAAATCTAAATGTTTTTGTTTGAAGAACTGTCCATAAAGACTCTTAGTCCGTGTCTTACACTCCAAGTGCATGAAATATCAATACGCTTTCTTTGCATTTTCTTTTTTAATTCCTTGGCAGTTTCTCAAGCTGATGATGATGCAAAAACATTTTGACAGCCCTCTGAGTTTCACAACCCGGACTGACACAGATTGGCCATGTGTCTCACTTGATTGATTTATGAGTTACTAGTCAGTCCCCCACAATCATTTTGCCATAGTTGCACGAAGTTCTGCTGGAAAGCTCTGTTTCAGTCTTTAGTTGACTCTGTAACTCTTCCCTCCACGCCTTTGCGTCTGTAACAAACACTCTTTTCCAACTGTGATTCATCTGATTTGTCACTGACATACTTGGGTAGCAGTAATTGAGGTGGTGCCATGTGAATCTTTGTGAATGTAAGTGTAGCTGAGCGCTGCGATGGAGCCATGCCCAGCGAGCCTGAGGGCGAGTGGGATGGCGATCTGACAGTCTGCTGACTTGCCTGCCGTGTGTTTGCTTCACTCCGGTATAAAACCCTCAGTTGTTTCTCTCTGCCTGTTAGTTCATGGGCAGAACTTTTATCAGACGGATGATTTAAAAACAGAGGAGCTACACCTTCATTGTTCAGGTTCCAGCATTAAACTCCACCTGCTGCAGGAGCTTGCTCATGTGTTAGTCTAAACTTCTGACAATAGTGTGAGAGTGACCATGGAGGAATGTGATGTGGATGCAGATGTGGACGTCCGGGATCCTGATGAGAAGTCCATCATGACCTACGTGGCTCAGTTCCTGCAGTACTCCAAAGACCTGCCGGTGACAGAGGAAGAAATGCAGGTCTGTATCACTGCATGTTTTCTTGATAAATATCAAGCAGCACAGGGCACTGTTTCACTCTGCAGCAGTGTTTGCAGAAAAGTTTTAAAGTGAGTGTAACTTGTAGGAATTTAGGATGTTTTCAGCTGTTAAACTGCAGCAGTCCAGTGCCAACAATTAGGGTGCAGGTGAGAGCTGTCTTATCCAGACCTGCAACATTAACATTCAACCTAGATATCTAAAAACACTTTTATATTTCAACCAGATTTTGCACATTTAAACTAGATATTTAGATTTTTCTGACCTGCAACTCACCAGATCACCTTTGTGGGTTCCTCTTCTTCAACCTGCTTCAATCTTCATGTTTGCAAAGTCTGATTGATGATTTTGTGCTGCTGCCAAAATCAATATTTGAGCATAACCATGGATATAAACAGTGCGTGGACAAAGGCATGCACATTTTTAGATCTGGTCACTGAAGACTTGTTCTGAAGATAGGAACCAGAGGTAGGGTATTTCACAGTACAACAATAAATGTATTGTTGTTGACACACTCCACACCACCTTCTGCTCAGCTTCTGTCAACTCGTGTGCTGCAAACAGTTTGTAAACAACAGCAGTCTGCTTTGTAATGTAGTCAGTGTCATACTTGTTACCTCGGGTGCACTTTCTCTGCCATTTCTTCTATGCTTATTGGCCAGAATATATACAGATACAGATAAAGACATGATAAAATTATATCAGCTTCCAATAAATCAGTGTGGACTTGAATGTTTTTGGATGTTGTATCCAAGTTGTATTTAATTTATCATGAGCATTCATGTATCTTTCCTCTCTAAGTTTTTGTTTGGGATTTTTTCTATTTTCTTGGCATCCTTTTGTTCACTCTTTCCTCCTTTTGCCTTCTCTCTTTCCTCCCTTCCCTTTTCCCTCCTAGACACAATACCTGACAGTCCCTAAAAGCCCTTCTCCTGTCGACCTGCCTGTTCACTACACTCCTGCTATTTCTGCCTCACCTCTGCGACAGGTACACCCGACAGTCGTGATCCACCTCTGTTTCATTTCTCATCTTTTGTCCACCTCTCACCAATCACAGTACCTTGCAAAAGATTCAGTGACACCTTAAATCATAATTAATATATGCCTTAATCTCTCCATGAAATCACTAGGTTTTTTTTTCAGATGGGATTTTCTGCAACCTTTTTAGGTGCTCAGATAATACAGTTTTCACAAAGTAACTGTGGGCTAATCGTAAAATATAGGTCAGAAAATGTATAACTGGATGAATAAACAAAAACAAACCTAGGGTGGTGCATAAAAACCTGCCTGAATCTCCTGTATCTGCGTCAGTGCCACACCCCCCTGTCACTGTTTTATGCCTTTAAAAGAGCTGCTGTTTTTCTCCGTTCATGCAAAGTGTTTGGAAACCCTCTGGCTTGCTGCTTGGCAATTGTCAGCCTCTTTACTGCTGTGTCACACGGTGTAAATCAGCCGCACAAAACCCTTACAGCACCCGCAAATAACTTTAGATTCCACTGCTGATGATTATGTCTCATAAAGACACGCCAGGAAAGTTGTTTATTGGGACGGGGCTGCAGCTACTCAAATGAAAAAGTCGGTCTCTAAGAGGCAAGATTACCTTTAAATCATATGTTGGTTATAAGCAGGACTGATCATGCAGAATCAAACTAGTTTGCCCTGTTCTCTGGGAACACATCCAAAACCACAGCGAGGGTGTGTTTCTCTGCCTCCCATGAGATGAATAAAACACTCATGGGTTGACTGTGTTGTGCAGCTACTCCTTCACTCCACTGACATTCTTGTTGGTAAAGCCTGCCGCAGAGCTCATGACAGATCAGTCACAGTGGACATGACACCTGTTGGCTCTGGTGTTTGACAAGATATCAGCATGTTCGGATGTGGCTGCTGTAGACATTTGAGATTTTAATCTACTTTGTGAGTTGTTTCTTTACCCCCCAAGAGGTGTTCATTTTCAAATTTAGGACTAATCCTGCAGTGATTGTGCAAGATACATTTTAGGGTGGAGGGCACAGAGTCTGGAAAACAATCTGCAAAAACAGGAGTGTGTTGAAATTTTTGAAACACAGCTGAAAATGCATTTGAAAATAGCAGCTCTTACTCTGCATATAATGCACAAAATTGTAACAAATAAACCTTGATGCTACTACACATTGAATTCTTTATACGTTTCATTAAATTATATCCAACTATGTCCTCACACAACCATTTTCCATTTTCTTACAAGTAAAATAAGGACCCAACTGTGTTGCCAGATCATACCTCTGTATGGGCTTGGTACTTTGCTCTGTACAGGCTTGCTTGACGCACAAAACATTTTGGCACACCAGCTGCCATTATGTTTTGTGTAAAGCATCTCATGACTGGTGCCTTGTGGGAAAGCTTTTTGATTCCATGGTTTGGTTTATTGCCTAATAAATAGAACATTGTTTACAAAATTGTAACACAGTTGTATATGAGCACTAGATAGACGAGAACTGCTCTTTAACTGCAGTCAGTAATGTCTTTTAAAGAGACAGTTCACCCCAAAATCAATAATGCATATTTTTCCTCTCATCTGTGGTGCTATTAATCAGTCTAGATTGTTTTGCTGTGAGTTGCAGAGTGTTGGATATATCAGCCATAGAGATGTCTGCTTCTCTCTAATATAATGGAACTAGATGGCACTCAGCTTGTGGTGCTCAGAGTGCTAAAAAAATACGTTTAAAGAACGTAACAGCAGTGTTTCTTTCCAGAAATCATGACCTGGTTACACAAGATAATCCACAGACCTTGTTGTGAGCATTTTCATGTAGGAACTATTTTCTTTCTACTGAACAACACCCGTCAACTGTATCACCGCACAGAAGGAAGTGTGCGTCTACTCATGGATGAGATGCTCGTGCTGGTGACAGCATGAGCAGTGAACACTAATGGCTAGGCTGTCACAGTGATACAGTTGGTGGGTGTAGAGATCAGGTGATAACCTGCTCTGGCCTCAACTGGTTACAATTCTTTGCACTGGTATGGGATGTTTAGTTTAGGTTAGTTTAGTTTGGTCAAAACTCAAAACACTGCAGTTACTTCACACAGATATTTTGAGCTGTTCAGTTTGACAAAGTTTATCTTTTTTTTCTTCTGGTTTTTGACCTCAGGGTGGAGATCAAAGATTAAGCTATCTATGTCAAACTAAATATCACTGATCATGAATGACATTGTGCTAAGAAATGAACAACTGAATTTAGCTTGTAATTGTCCATTTGTCCTCAGTCAGTAACTGTTTTATTTCCATGTTGCCAGGCGACACCTGTTCAGAAGGCACAGGAAGTGACGTGCTGGCTGGTTCAGGCCTATGACGAGCTGCTGGAGGGATGGGACTCCACAGAGGGAGAGAGCTACTCAGAGAGATACCATGTATGTTTCCAGCTACTTCCTATCAAGATACATTAAGGAAATATTGTAGAATTTTAAAGTATCATGCATCATTGTCTTATTAACTGTAGTACGTTCATATTGTGTCATTAATATTATTGTTTATCACCAAGTGGCATTAAACATTACATTTTTTTCATCCCTCAGGTGATTCAGACCTTTCTGGTGTCCTTTAATGAGCAGCGGCGTCCCATCATGCCTTTACTGACAGCGATGAGACGGACCCCGAAACTGAGCGATGAGCAGCGGGCTCTCAGAGACGCGTGGGACAACCTTACTGAAAAGGTCAATTTCACTCAAATCTGTCATCCTGTCCAAACCTTAAAAACCTTATACTGAATATATCCGATATCATATTTGTGTACAGTACATTCAAGACAAATGTGTGTGTGTGTGTGTGTGTGTGTGTATTTTAACCTTTTTTATTGTGTTTTTTTGGTTAGTTTTGGCAGTTTTAAGCATTATTTTTTTATTGTGAAATATATATTTGAAAAATACATACATTTAAGACAAATATATACATATACACATTTTGTCTTTGTATAAGTCATTATATATAATATATATTTGATATGTTCTTATCTTGATATTTTAATGTTTCTCTTTAATGCAGCAAAAGTATTTCACATGATTGTACTTGTATAATTGCAGTGACAGTATACATCTTGAATCTTGAATTTTGAATATAAAAACATATTATGGACCAGCAACCTCAAAAATATTGATAGCTTAATCCTTATTGTGGCAACTTCTCTGTGTATGCAGCTCCGCAGACGTCAGTATACATGTACCTCTCTACTCTATAGTCTTCTCCCACACTGAACTCGTTTCTGTGTGCAGTTTAATTTGAAAGACACTGAATTTACATGTCATAAAATGGGCTTCTTTGTCTCTGTCTTGTCATTTAGCTACGTGAATACAAAGTGGAGTTAGATAAGAGTCTTCCAGCACCCTTGAACACGGTGGCTCGCTGGCTGCTGAAAACGGAGAACGCCCTGGCCGAGGAGGAGGGTGACCCACAGGACCACGGCCGAGCTGCTGACGATGCCAGGGAGAAACAAGAGCTCCTCAAAGTAAATATTTACTGCGTCCAACTCTTCAACTATACGACTTTAGGAAGTGAAATAAACAACAATGCTGACTTAGTCAGCCCAGGTACCTCAGGCAGGGTTTTCCACATTTAATATATAAATAACTTCTGCAGAATAGCTCCTTTATTCTGAGTGTTCAGTTGTTAGTTCACTGTTCAGGAAAATATTATACAAATATCAAACAAACTGGCATATAAGCCACTTCCTGGAACACATTTGTTTGTTGGGATAATGTGGAAACCCTTACCTCCTTTCTGAGGCATTAAAACATGGACCTTGACTAGCAGAAATGATGAATCTATTTTATATTTAAACAGAAATATGCATGTGAATGTGCTCACTGGTCAGTGTTGCTGTAGGTCTGCCTGGAGGACATGCCGCAGCATGTGAAGACCTTCCAGTCCTTCCAAAACTTGGATGAGTATGGAAACGTGATGGTTCCTACTGACAAGATGGATGAACTAAAGAGGAGGTGAGAGCACTTTACCAGGTGGTCTGTTTGCTCATGTATGAAATCATGTGTACTGCCCAGACTGTACTAGAATTGATTGATCTGTTTAAGTTTGGTATTTTTCAACCTGGACTCTATTTTCCCTTGTTTTTGTGTCTGTGTGACCAATGGGAACAAGATTTTTAAAACTTGTCCAGTATTAAGTAGGAGGGCTGGAGCCAGCTGCATTGATATAAGCTGTAGTCTGTCCACTTGGGACATGTTTGCACCATCAATTTGCTTCCACTAACACTGGTTGTTTTTACCGCTGACACGCTCGGACCATTATTCTAAGTGTCTGACAACATTATGGAAAGGATCCCTGCAGAGAAAGACCTTTGTGTTAAAGACTAAGATCATTTTTGTTTAACCAGAAACAGCCTCAAAGTGGTCTGGTCTGCTAAGTAAAAAAGCCCAACGTCCAGGCTAAAGGGAGCTCTCTCTCCCCACAGACACAGCTCCACAGCTGCCTGAAGCGCCTCATTTGCATTCCTGCCTGTATTTCCGTAACGTGGTTGCATCACTATGTAACACATTATCTATGTACACAGTGCCCACCTGCAGGCCACTTGGCCACGCCCCCGAACAAACCTACTTAGAGGGAGCTGGAGCAGAGGCTGCATAGAGTCTGAACTGTCCATGTTGAGGAGATGCTGCTTTTTTTGGTGTGGCTGCAAATTACTGTTGTTTGGACTGCCAGAGGAAGAAGAGATGAAGTGGTTGGAACTATTTTTAACGCTATTCCTCAACTATATAACAACGTTTTATTGTGTTCCATTCATTTTCCTGAGGCCTGCTTCATGAACTAGCATCAGTTTTCACAGCGGTTACTCCTACGAGACCTGATGCAGTTGTTACCTTAGTCACAGCAATGTTTTTAGCAGCTCATGCAGCCTCAGGAGGTGAAATCCGGTTAAGATAAGGAGTGTGACATTTCCGTTACACGCTCTTACAAGTATTGCACCAATTACAAAACAACAACCTGAGCAAGCTGACCAATCAGAGCAGACTGGGCATCTGAGGAGGCGGGACATAAGCTTGCACAGTGTGTTTCAGAAGGAGTGCAGGGGTGCTGCAGAAATGGGTAGTAAAAGAAAAATAATGTGTGTTTTGAACCTAAATCTGTTCGACTAGACCACAATATTACAATCATGACCCCATGATGTCTTTAAATGGAGTCTGGTGGATTTGGTGATCGCAATTTTGTGGCTGTTTCTGGTCAAACAAAAAGGATCTTACTCTTCAACTCTTTATCTCTGCATGGATCTTTTCCATAAATTGCCAGACACTTAGAATAATGATCTGAGCCTGACAGTGGTAAAAACAAGCACTTTTGACAGTAATATGCCCCAAGTATTTACATTGCAGCCTGTTGCGCCACTCCCCAGCTGCTGAACCAGTATCAAAAAGATTGTTTCTCTTAGTCACGTAGACACAAAAACAGAAAATAGGGTCCAGGTTGAAAAGAATGAAATTACTCTATAAGTAAAATGTCCTAGTAGTACATCTAATGTCATGACCTGGATATAATCAAGGCCGATGTTTAAGCACAGGGAAAAATCTCCTGAAAGAGTTACAACACACCACAAATGGTATCATTCTGTTATGTGATAATAAAGTGTGGTGTCAAATGTTGCTTTAGCGAGGCACCTCTGATACTAGAGAAGCAAAACGAACTTAAAGATTGTGGATTTTTCTGGTGTATTTCAGGAATGTTGGCTCTATATCATGGAAATTTCATGGAAACATTATACATATCATTAGGTTTCAGGTTGTCCAAGTCGTTTGTTTATTTTTTTGATAATGTTCAAACCTTATTTGTTGACGTCTTCACCAGATTCACCAGTGTGAGAGTGACTGCCAAATACCATGGGATCAAGCTGGATTACAGAGAGCACCGTCACACAGTTTTAGATCTGTTGGGGCAGATCAGGACCAAGCTGCGGCTTTGGAAGAGACCTTACATCTCCCCAGAGGCTGTCAGGGTGTTGCTGCAAGAATGGCATGTGAGTAGTTTTTAGGTCAGATTCATTATCTTTGCAGACTTATTTCATTCATTGCGAGTGGTTTGAAGGAAGTGGAACAAGGTTGCTTTATGCATACGTATCAGGCCTCGTCCATGCATACATGGGTATTTTTGAAAACAGGGTGTTTCCCTCTATCATTCTCAAAAAAATAAAATAAAATCCACACATGCATTACTAAAAAAATTTCAGCACCAAATGAAAACCTGAATAAAACTGAAGTGCTTTCAAGAGCATGCCACAGCAACAGGCTGCAATATAACCTTAGACCTAAAGCCACGCAGGACAGAAGATGTTGCCCAATCAGAAGCCTGAAAAAAAAAAGTGTTACCAGAAGGCTACCTGGAGCAGTGACCTCCGTACTGCATTGGGAACATAGACTGTTAAAATAATGGAGGTAGCTACTGTGACGTCATCCATTAGTTTGTGTACTCCTGCTCTGAAGCTTTGAGTTTTACGTTTTGACCATGGTCATGTTGGGTTTTTTGGAGCCAGAAGTGACCATATTTGGGCGGGAGGGTGGCGCTGTGGAGGACACTATCGGCAGACAGCCTATCACTCAAAGTAACTTTAAGCCTTAACAAAATGTAAACAGGTTAGTTATATAAAAATTAGCTCCTGCACAGTTGTTATGAACGGGGATATTAGCCATAGAGAGCAAAACCATTTTTTGCACCAGTTTGTAAACATGTTAATTCCTGCTGTAAAAGTGGACATATTGACACTTGGCGGTATGTGGAGATTGACTTTCTTCTGGAGCCAACCTCAAGTGGCCATTTGAGGAACTGCAGGTTTTGGCACTCCATGCTGGCTTCATTTTTCAGCTGCTTGATTTGGACGCCTCTGTACCTCAATATATTGCAAGAGTAACTAAGTTTATGTGGAAATATATAAAAAGTCCTGTCGGCAAAGCATTATTTTGGTCATGTTGCACAAATTGTTGCCTCATTTGTGATGTTTCACAAAGGAGATAATGGCGCACACTCTGAAGTCTGAAGTCTCAAGCCAAAAACTCAGTTTTCCCTGACTACACATCACCACTGCAAACGGTGTTTCTGAAAAACTTCACCCTGGATGGAGTTTTACAAAAGGCCTGTTTTAGGTGATGTAAAAAGCAGTTTGTGCATTGACAAAAGGCAAAAAACGCACAGAAAAGACTACATTATAAATATTCCTGTGCATATGTGGACTGGGCCTTTTATTTTTGATGATTGTTTTCCTAAAGCTAAGGTAATACTAAACACAATACAGCTAATGTTACCATCAGTAAATGATGCAATTAGCATGCTTAACATCTGACAATATACAGCTGAGACAGAGATGTTAGAAACCAGCCACTGTAAAGAGGAAAACCTCTTTTGATGTTAGTAACAGCATGGCCTTTCCTCTGGTGCCACTCTCTAGAAAGACTTTCAACCAACATTTTTGCCCCTCTAATGATAATAGTTGAAGAATAACAGAATTCATCTCTGATTGTTTCACCTCGCCATTTAGAAATGTTGATTCTACTCAAAAATGAACGTTGTTATGTTACGCTACGCTATGTTATTAAGGTTTGTTATCGTATGGACTTTTTTTTTTTTTTTTGGTTAACTTTTCTTTCTTTCGTTTTCTTTTTTCCACAGGACCTGGTGAACACACAGGAGCTACCCTCTTTGTTAGAATCAGCTCTTCACAAGCTGAAGCAGGTTTCTGAGAAATATTCAAGCAAATCTGCCCTCAGTAAGTGTTCTATGACTGTTTGTTGTTTGAAACCTTCCCTGGTCATGGGCCAGTTAATTAACTTATTTTTGGCATGACATTAACAACTATTTCTGTTTGCTCCTCAGCTGCAGATTACCACCAGGTCAGTCAGCAGGTGAAGCAGCTGGAAGGGGACACCACTGCGGTTTTGGAAGAGGTGACCAAAACCAAGAGCACCATGGGACGGGTCCTGTCTGCTTGGGACTCCTACAGTGACTGCTTCAGCTCCCTGCAGGCTTGGCTGGAGCAAGGCTCTGCAGCACACAGCCATGGCCAAAGACCAGAGGTATTACTGCCACATCAACTAAAATATGTCACAAACAAATAATAGAATAGCCGACTGTTACAGACACGTCTTTTTACACACTTCAATCTTCCTCCTCTCTCTTGATTATGATTGCTATGATCATGTTTTTGTTAAGATGACGTCAGAGATGATGGCGGAGTGGGGATCCCGACAGGCCCACCTGAACGAGGTGGGTAACTTCTTGATCGAGTCAACAGACCCCCAGACCAGCAGGGGCCTGGCAGAGGAGCTGCGCAGACTCAACATGCACTGGGCCGAATTTGTCAAGAAAAACACGTTTGTAAGTTACAGAACAAGGAAAACCTGGCTGGTTAGAAACAGTCAGTCTGATGCTTTATTGTCAATTCATTTCTTGCCAGTGGATTATTCAGTGTATTTAGCCAGCGTGAAAGTACTGTAGATGATATTTTTGATAGAGCATGTACCATATTGCACTCAGTATATGTAACTATATGCGAGGCTTTTTTTGTTTTTTCAGGGTGACTGGCTTTGTTGTTACATGATGGCTTAGTTTCTTCTCTGTTTATTTTCTGTTGAATGACAGCAGGAATTTTGGTAGGTTCATGGCTCATACCTTTGGAATTGAAGCTCCGATTGTCCCATTGTTCTAATTATTCCCATGCTATGATTTGAAGGAGCGGCTTCGAGTTTGGAAGTTGTACTCCACCTTTGCTTTTTGTCTGGAGGCAATTATAAATGCAAAGCTTTTATAGTCTGTGATTATAGCGTATCATTATGTGGCTTCTTTCATTTCTCTGGTTGCATATTGGACAGGTGTTGGAGACACCTCAGTAAAATATCTGTGAAGTGATTCCATCAGACTCTTGTATCATATCCACTGTGATATTAAAGTACAGGAAGCAAGTGTCCATGAAAATGCTGGTGTAAATTGCTGTACTGCATAAACAAGTGCACTATAGTTCAAACTTAACTGTCCAAACACTTTACTGATTGACTTATAGGCTAAAAGCAAGTAATCAGTTTTACACAAGCTTCTTTTGTCTTTGCGAGTATTGAATTTGCTTTTCAGTCTACCTGATATTTAACAGTGTAACTTGTGCTTTTTCCAGGACAACACGGCTGAGCCCAGCGCTGACGTCCAGGCCAGACCCCAAGACATCCAAGCTCTGATCAGAGAAGCCACTCTGATTCTCAGAGAGCCTCTGCAGGCCATGGGAGGTCCCTTACGCACCTACAGAAAAAGAATACAGGTAGGACTAATTGATGAATGAACTACACCTTGGCAGAATGGTGTAGAGTCATATGTTAACTGTCTTAACGTCTGAATGTAACTCAGCTCTGAGCAGGTAAATCTCACATGGTTAATTTCACAACATTTGGAAAAAATCTGGTGTCTTGTTTACCGCATAGGTTTGTACCTCTAAAAAAAAAAAATATATATATATGTATATATATATATATATATTAAATTGATTTAAAATCATGATCAAATCAGTAACAACTTCCTGCCAAACAGCTAGTCCAGCAGAACTGTTTTCAACAATCAGAAAGTTACACATTTTGGCCTAAGATCGAAGTAAGATCTTAGAAATCAGCAAAATCACTTAAACCTTTTGATAACACAGTGTAATGATTACATGTAAAACAGCAGTCTGGTCAGAATTGACACAACCCAAGTCCCATCCACTGTAGTTACTGTCGCTTGGTCAAACAAGCTTGACAAAAAGAGACATGGCGACATCAGTTTAGTTTAGCCTGGTCCCACAGTGTGTATTAGACTAGGTTAGATCTGGGCATCAGGCAACAAAGCTTCAAGAAGTCGACAGTGAGGACTACAGTATGCGATGGAAAGATAAATTCACGATGGAATGATAGATGTTAGATGTTGTGTATATCCAAATAAACACCAAAGGTTTAGCTTAGCATATAGCATATCTAATACAATAGGAAAGGGGGAAAGTCAACTGTTGTTTGCCGTCTTCCAAGTTCACCTGTTATTGGGGCAAAGAGCAACAAGGGCCTAGGACTTACAGAGCTAATTAGAAATAACAGATCTCACATGCAGTCATTTGCCTGTCAAATCAAAGAGTTCTTGAGAATTTTACTTTTCATGACCAGATACATCTCTGTAGAGTTCACTGTTTGCTTTCTCTTTCAGTTCATAATGAGGAAAATAAAAGAATTGGATCTTGAGGGTCTGGCTTCCTCCCCAGAATGCCCAGCAGATCAGTTACAGAAACTGAAGCTTGCTGTACCTGAAGTACGAATGATTGCTTTCCTTTTATTACTTCTTTGATGCAGTTGTGTTCAAAAGCATCCAAGTCTTTGTGTTTTGCTACTGCGCTTATCACATTTTGTCACTAAATAGCCACCTGCAGATACGTTTCGTGAATGTACAGTATGTACTGTTAGTTTATCCATTCATTACCATCCTTTCCCTTAATGTCACCAGGTGATGCAGACCTTGATGGAGGCAGAACAGGTGTGTACAGAGCTACAGCACAGTGTGTCAGGTCTGGACAGTCGTATGGCTGAACTCCTGCACTGGGAGACTGAGGCCAGTGAGCTCTACCAGCTGCTGAGGGCCCAAGACAGACAACAACAACAACAACAGCGGGGCCAGGACCCACGAGCCAGGGTAAGATGGTCCACAGAATAAAAAGGTTGTCCTGCTGTGATGGTTTATGCAAATGTGTTACTCTGAAATAGTGGACTCTCCAATGACAAGCTTATTGTTTTTTCATTAAGAAATCCTTACGCGGCATTGATGAAACACTAATGGTTGTTCAACACCATTTGTTCCCTTAGGCCCTGATTTCCCGTGGTCTACAGCTGGAGGGCCAGGTGGTTACAGAAGAGCAGGACCTGCAGGTGATGGTGATGACAGGTCAGAAAAACTCACCCATCCAGTACCTCCATGCCACCGCCATGCAGGACCGAGTGCGAGCTGCTGTTGCACAGTCACAGGTTAGTTTTCTTTTTGTACATAGCCTGAGCAAGCCATTGAGTTTTGCATGATCTGTTCTTGATACAACGGTAAACAGGAAGGACATAGCAGAGAATATTAATGTGTCACTTATTCTAATATGTGTGATTTCAATTCCAGGAAGTTGTAGGTATGCTGAGCAGCCTGGGAGCCAGAAGAGACAGAAGCAGAAGCCCTCCAGAAGGGTCTCCTCCATCCAAAGTCTTTAAACAGGCTAAAGAGAGTTCTCAATATCTGACACAGTCAGACAGAGACAGATGGCCAACTAAGCAGCCTGAGACAACGTTAGTTTCTCATCAGCGTCAAACCTTTGTACCAAAGATAGTGCTGCAGGAATACAGACAAGAAAAGGTGACTTCTCCTACAATGCCATATACCTATGCACAAGCTGTCATGCAGACCAGGACAAAGTCGCCACCAGAAGGCTATGCTCAGGCCTGGCCAGAGGCTGCCGTGCAAAAGCCACAGCAGACTCAGGAGCAAGGATTGATACAGCAGCAACAGCCACCGCAGCAAGGACAACTTGACAGACAGACAGAAAAAGAGCTACAACAGCAAGAACTCAAGCAACAGCAGCCACAAGAAGTGCAACAGCAGGGGCCAATGCAAACACAGCCTCAACAACTGCAGCAGAAGCAGGAATGGCAACAGGTGGAACAGCAGCAGCAGCAGGTAGAAATGCATCAATTCCAAGTTAAGCAAGTGGTAACAGAGAGGCCAACACCAGAGCCCCATGAGCAGACTTCCCTTCAACAACCACCAGTAAAGAAACCACATCTGAGCTCCCAGGAGCTTCAGAGCAGAAAGACTCAGGCCATGAAGAACCGGCCCTGGCTTCAGAAGCCAGGCTCAGGAGAGCATAAAACTCCCACTCCAGAACCAGAACAGGATTCCACTCAGGAGATTCAGCTGCAGTCAACCAGAGAAACAGTGGCATCAGTTCAGGTTGTTACACAGCATACAGCATCTACTAGACCACAACCTGAGGCACAGGCAAAGGTTACTAAGCAGCCAGAAGAACAGCAAAAAGAGCAACAAAAACAAGCACAGCAACCTCAAAATCTAGAGCAGCAACAACAACTGCAACATCAACAAAAACAACAAAAAGAGAAGCATCAGCAACAAAAGCCACATCAACTGGAAAAACAACAAAGGCAACAGGAACAATTGCTGCTGCAACAACAACAAGAAAAACAACCACCGCCTATTGTAAGACAGGCTCAACCAGATTCAGACACCAAGGCTAAATCCCAGACTGCTACTATGGCTCAGCCTCACCCACAAACAAAGGCCCCAAGTCAGTCACAGCCCCAAACTACTGCTCAGGCTAAAACTCAGGCAGCGGCCCACGTGCCAGTGCAGTCCGCAAGTATGTCCCTCACTTCCACAGACCGTCAGCAACCACTGAAGACCACGCCCCAGACCACAGTGAGCCAAGGTCAGCCGCAAACACAAGTTCTTCCACAGCCCTATGGCCCCGTGAAGACACAGTCAGTGACCCAGCAGCAGACACAACAACAGCTCCAGCCTCAGGTTCAGACTCAATCCCAAACATGTGCCTCAGGTGGACCTCAACCATCTGTGCAGCCGCAGGGTCTACTTCTTGGCCCACCTGTAGTTCAAGTGCAGACATTTTCTCAAGTCAAACCTTCTTCCCCTATGCAAGCTTCATTTCAGGGTCAAATACCGCCTCCTGTGCCATCCCACATTCAGCTTCGAAGTCATCCACAGTCCTGGTCTCCTGTCAGGCCGCCATCCCCTAAGCCACCAACACAAGCTCAGATGACCCAACCTCAAACCCATGCTCAGTCAGTGCCTCAACCTCAAACTCATCCTCAGTCAATGTCTCAGCCTCAAACCCATACTCAGTCCACGACGCAGGTTCAAACCCGTCCTCAGTACATGACCCAGCCTCAAACCCATCCTCAGTCCATGATCCAGCCTCAAACCCATCCTCAGTCCATGACCCAGTCTCAAATCCATCCTAAGTCCATGGCCCAGGTTCAAACCCATGCTCAGCCAACGGCCCAGCCAAGTCATACCCAACCTTCAGCTCAACAGACCCAAGCTCCTCATGTAGTCCGGCCTCAGGGTCCTATTCAGCCGATGACTCAGTATCCCGCACATGCTCAGCCCGAGGTCCAGCACCCAGGCCATATTTCCCAGGGCCAAATCCATGCTTGGACTCAAGTTAGAGGCTCATCCCCAATGTCTGTCCAGTATCCACAAGCTCCAGCACAACATCCTCTTTACCCCCAAGGTTACTCCCAGGGACAGTCTCCAACCCACCAGTGGCCACCCAAACAAGAGCCTCAAACACAGCCTGCTGCCCAGCAGAGGCATCCAGTTCCCCAGTCATACCCTCAGCAAAGAGGTCAAGCTCCACAGTCTCAGGCTTACCCAGCAGTTCAGGCTCAACAACAGTGGCCCCAAGTTGGGCCCCAACAAGGACCTCAGGTTGGGTATTCTCACATGGGGCCATCATACACTCAGCCTCAGATGCAAACACAATCCCAACCCTGGGCTCAAACACAACCCCAAATGAGACCCCAGAGTTCCATGCAACATCAACCTCAAATGGGAGTTTATAATATGTTTCATATGCAGGGGCAACAAGGCCAAGTTCAGCAACAGACTTGGGTTCAGGCACCACCCCAACGTCAGCCACAGCCGTATCCCCAGCCTTATCCCCAGCCTCAATCTCAGAAATATTCACAAGTTCAGCATCAACCTCAGCGTCACCCTCAGCCTCAGATGCAAGCTCAAACACCTCCCCAATCGCAACCACCACACCCAGCCCATCCTCAGCTTCCTTCTCAGCCTCAGATCCAACCCCAGCAGCAGGTCCAGTCCCAAACACACATCCAGACGCTGCCACTGGTACAAGTAAAACCCCAGGCCCAGACTCAGCAGCCTCAGCCCAGTCTTCAGTTCCAGCAGCAGCCTCCACAACCCAAACATCAGGTCCAGCTCCAACAACAACCGAAGATTCAATCACCAACTCAACCAAAAGGTGAATCCCCTCCACAACCCAAACGTCTGGCCCAATCACTACTTCAATCAGAGGTTCAATCACCGACTCAACCCAAGGTTCAATCACAGACCCAACTTAAGGTCCAATCAAAAACTCAACCTAAGGGTCAGCCACAGACCCAAACTAAGGTGCAGTCACCAACACAACCCAAGGCTGAATCAGTGGCACAGACTTTACCTGAGCCCCAGTTACTCCCTCAGCTCATGGCTCAGTCAACAGTCAAGGCTGAATCACCACCACAACCCAAACCACAGGCCCAAACAGCACCACTACCTGAAGCTCAATCACAGACCCAGCCGAAGGTTCAGTCATCAACCCAACCTAAGACCCAATCACCACCACAACCCAAATCACAGGCCCAAGCAGTACCACTACCTGAAGCTCAGCCACCAACTCAACCCAAGGCTCAATCACCTCCACAACCCAAACCACAGTCCCAAACAGCGCCACTACCTGAAGCTCAATTACCAGCTCAACCCAAGGTTCAGTCGCCAACCCAACCCAAAGCCCAAACACTGCCACAGCCCCAACTTCAGGCTCAGTCACCACCACTACCCAAGGCCCAAACTGGACCACAGTCTAAGGCTCAGTCACCCCCACATGCCAGACCTCAGACCCAACCACCTCCACAGTCAAAACCTCAAACTCAGTCTCCTCCGCAACCCAAACCTCAACAGCCCCAAACTGTTCTCCTCCCCCAGGTCAATGTGCTGCCTCAGTCCCTGTCAGAGTCACCAGAACTATGCATGAAACCTCCGGCCCTGGCCCAGGCGCCTCCCCAGGCCTACACAGAGGCTTATGCCAAGGCCCAGGCTTTGGCCAGAAATGGCTTTGAGGAGGCCAAGCACTGTCTGCAGGAGCATATCATGGAATGCATTAATGTGTTTAAAGACAAATCTTTATCGTCTGAGCCAGCATCAGTGAAAGAGGTAATTTTAACCACTTCTGTGTTGTAATATCATAATCAATGAGTACCCTCAATCAGTAAGCTTTAATTTGCAAAATGTTCATGCAGTTAAAACAGTACACCCAGTTCATGAAAACTACATTTGATATTGTAAACGCTCTGTGGCGACGTCGGTTTATGACACACAGGAGCTGAAGAATTAACGTAGATAAAAAGTGTGTGCTGCAGTAACTCTTAAAGGGAAGATATTTCAGATAAAATATGCCACATTAAACACGCTACTTCTCTTTTGTCCTATTAAAGTTTTTATCTGAAGTTTCTAACTGAATAAGTTTGAATAATTTTCCAAGAACCAGTCTGCAATTATATATGTGCTTTTCCCCTCAGGAGACCCTGAAGACCCTGGACCCTGAGTTGCTTGAGGAGTTCTTGAGGGCAGCCAAAGGCATGGAGGCCTTTTGTACCCCGTCACAGCTCAGAGACATGGAGTTCTTCACCCAGTCTGTCATGACACAGTGGGAGGTAGGACACACTCACTTAATGTGTGAGATTTATATTAATGTGTGGGACTTTAAAAACTGTTAATGGGGGATAGTTCAGCAGTCTTAATAAGGCTTTACGTGTTCTTCGAGGTTAAAGTGTGTCAGATAATTGGTTGTGCATGTCAGCCATGTACTAAAGCTGTTGCAACATTTTCTGCTTGTGTCAGCTTTAGATATGAATTTGCATGCATATAAAGCATTCATATTATAAACCTTTTTAGTGAATACTGTGTTCTAACATGTCATGTGGTTGTTTTGAATTTATTTTATTTTATCTCCCAGGCTGCGAGAGCTGAGATCTTGGGCTTTTTACAACAATTACGTGTTGAAGTAACAAGGAAAGACTTTAACAAAGCTGCCCTGCAGTGTGAGATGCAGTTAAGCTCCAGCTTAGAAAACCAAGCGCAGGTAGCTAAATTACAAGAGCTATATTCTTGGCAGGTGTGCTATGGTGGATGGGTACGCAGCCAGGTTCTCTGCTCTGCTTGACTAACCTTTTTCCTCCATCTTCCTTGCATGCCTCCAAGGAGACTCATGGGACTTGGTAATTGCAACACTTCATTCTAGGTTCTCTTTAAAAAGAGTGCTGTTTTTGTTGGGTGTGTTCACAGTTCGCTTTTATGGAAGCCCATTTCTGCCAGTGTAATGGAACAAATCATTACAAGTCATTATACAGAGAAACTTTATCAAAATAACAACTAAATGCCACAAAATCAAGAGAAACTTTCTTAAAATCAGTTAGTATCTCAAAATAATGAGACATTATACTAAGTCATAATTTTTGAAAATATATTTTCGTTATTTTGAGATGCTAACTCATTATGTTGTGATACTACATCATTGTTTTGGAATACAAACTCATTGTTTTGAGAAATGTAATGTTTTGAGAGACTGTCATAATTTTTGAAAAAGATTATTTTGAGATGCTGACTCATAATTTTTGGATACTTAATTGTTGCTTTGAGATAACTTATTTTTGAGATACTAAGTTCTTATTTTAAGATACTACATCAATATTTAAAGATACTAAGTCATTGTTTCGAGATACTAACTTATTATTTTAAGATACTAAATAATTGTTTTGAGATACTCACTTTTTGAGATACTAACTCACTGTTTCGCGATACTAACTCACTGTTTTGAGATACTGAGTCTTTTCTTTAGATACTGAGTCATTGTTTTGAGATACTAAGTCGTTATTTTAAGATATAAAGTCATTATTTGAGATACTAACTCATTATTTTGTGATACTAAGTCATCATTTTTGAGATACTTAATCATTATTTTGAGATACAAATTCATTATTTTGATATATTTACTCATTTTTTTCAGATACTAACACAATTTTGAGATTCTAATTACTTAAAGAAAGTTTCTCATTATTTTGAGATACTAAATTATTATTTCAAGAAAGTTAGTCATTTTCACTTTTGACTTTTCTTTTAGGATTTATTATCCACAACATTGTCAGAAATGGGCTTCCATACTATATAGCCCTGTTTAGTACCTTGATTTTATTGTAACTTGCTGGGTCAGAGAAGAAAAACACAGGAAACCTACACAACATAAACTAAACATACAAACAACATAAAACTAAATTAAGTAACGTTAATAAACATCTCAACAGTATAGAGGAAATCACATTTTCAGTTGAAAATGAAAACAGCATTCTGTTGTGTGCAGTTCGTCTGTGGGCTGCTGTCATCTGGGGGTTGACTTGTGTGTTGCAGTATTTCTGTCAAGCTGTCAAAACCAAGCTTGAGAGATAAATGAGATTTTGTCATATTAGATGCTGTTACACAGGACAAGCAAAGCTAACAATATAAATATAGTATTTTCAGATGTGTATACATCTAAAAAATAAAACAAAAATCTTAAACTAAAACAAGATTGGGTTGTAAGCCTTGGAAGCATTAATCATTTGGCTTCAGATCCAGTTGTTAGCACGCCTGTTTATTCATTTTCACTCTTTCAACATTCACCAGGCTTGTTTCTCAGCCGAGGGCAGCTTTGCCCAAGCAGGGCAGCACCTCGAGGCCTTGAAGGAGCTGTGTGACACCCTGAGCCCTGAGGATGCTCACCGCCTGGCCCAGACTCAGCTGAGGGAATGTGAGACGAGGCTGGCTGCCATTCAGCGACAGTTCAGCGGAGACCAAGACGCGCCACTCCCTGATTCGAGGCAAGATATTATTGAGTGCGTAATACAGTCTTCTAAACAACAGACAGTGAGAAAGTCATTTATTTGTTATCCTAAATTGACCTGCCTGTGGTACTGAATTACACTATCTCAGCCTCTTGACAGATTCTTTGTCCTGTCTTAATAGTTTCTGAATATGAAGTTATGTGACCCGTTGCATTTGATGTTTGGAGATGGAGGATCATTTTTTTTCTACATAGTCATTTGTTATGGGTTGTAGGTCATGAGGCTCTTCAAACTTCATAAGCCAAACATTCCAGTGCTACTTGTGGCTGTTTTAAGACAGACGCTGTCTTGTGCAGCGGCTCAGATAAAATTTTAAACGGAAACACAAGCCGAATTATTCTCCTCATTTCTGTTTCACAGGATTCCTGTTGCCTTCAGTGAGGATCTGACCGCACAAAAGGAACCCACAAGACCAAGTGACAAACCTCTGGTCTCAGCTGAGGTATGACTCATTCCCATTGAAACCATGTACTATTTTGATTTAACTCGGCAATTAGTTAAACAGTTTTTCTCTCAGAAAACATTTGCAGAACATGCTAGCATGTCTCCCGTCACAAATTTTTCACATTTCCACGTTGTCCGCATTTATACCTGTAAGATTATATTGTCTTCTACAGATAACCACTGAGCAGCTCCAGAGGTTTGAGATGACAGTTAACAAGCTATTCCTCTTTTTTCAGGTGTTGCCAGTGAAGACAGCTGGTGTAGCGAAGAGGGAGGTTGAAAAGCACCCTTCTGTGGACGATGAAGTCACCAAAAAGGAGGCTTTGGAAAGGTATTCTGAATTAAAGGGATAGTGCACCCAAAAATGAAAATTCAGCCATTATCTACTCACCCATATGCCGAGGGAGGCTCAGGTGAAGTTTTAGAGTCCTCACATCACTTGCGGAGATCCCAGGGGAGAGGGGGTAGCAACACAACTCCACCTAATGCAGGCTGACGGCGCCCCAGATTAAAACGTTCAAAAGAACACGTGAGCACAGTGTACAGAGAGGCAGTTAGAGCTACAGGCCACAATGAGGCTAAAAACAGAGTTCAAATGACGTTTTTCCAAACAACTTTTTATGTCGGGGCTTCAGGACACTTGGATCACTACGGACAAGCAGTATGGAGATATTTTGTGGTTTCAATTCTATGTTTTTGGACGTTTGAATCTGGGGCGCCGTCAGCCTGCATTAGGTGGAGTTGTGTTGCTACCCACTCTCCCCTTGGATCTCCACAAGTGATGTGGGGACTCTAAAACTCCACTTGAGCCTCCCTTGGCATATGGGTGAGTAGATAATGGCTGAATTTTCATTTTTGGGTGCACTATCCCCTTAAGCACAGTTTTAGCTTCGATAATTATAATTTAACATAACATACAATGTATTGATCAAAACTAGTTGGAGGTCTTTATATTCTACGTTTAGTCATTGTCTTTTTTGTTCTGACTCATAAAATCTCCAGATATGAGAACTGTAAAAGGGCTCTGCAGGCACAACTGGCTAAAAATGAACAGAGCATCGAGGATGTCCCCTCTGACTCTGTCTCTCTGAAAGGTCTGCATACACGGCTCCAGGAAATACAGGTATGCTTTAAGTTTGTGTGCAACAGAAAGAAATATAGATCTAGACTAATTATTAGACAATTAACCCTCCCTAGTCCCGCCCCTTTTTGCTCTGTGCTACAGTAACAGTTGAGCAAGCTTGTTAACCAACAGGACCTCGCTCAACTTCCCCCTTTCCTGCTGTTAGAATTAGATATGCTGTGCGCTAAACTCGTCTTTGTTGAAAAGAAAACCTCAATTTGAAGAAGGTTAAATGTTTGGCTGGGAGACTGTCACAGTCTTCACAGAGACATTAAATTGTATATAGTCACATCTTAAGTTAGCTACTGTTAGCAATATGAAAGCTAAGAAGCCAGCTAATATGGCTACATCCTAAGAGTAAACCTAATGTCGTATCAACACCATCAGCAAGCTATGCTTCCTCATTTATGTGGCAACGTTCAAGAGATTTGGAAAAGGACAGATTGATTGGTAGCTGATATATTATTAGGATGACATATTACTACTGTAAGGCTACATGCCACCCCAAAGTAACTAACATAACCTTCTACAGTAAAAAGACACAAACGTTAGGTCAGCACCACGGTCTGTAAAATGTTAATGGGGAAAAATGGTAGAAACCTCAGGAAGAGCAACTGAGGAGGGATCCCTCTTCCAGGATGGACAGACGTGCAATAGATGTCGTACAGAACAGATCAGCATAATAAATTTACAGTAATCCATATGACAAAATGATACATAAAGAGAGACAGAGAGAGATGCAGGACAGACAGTAATGAGAGAACAAGCCGAGTTAGTGACATGCAGTAAAGCTGAGTTAGCGATATGCTTTTCAACTTATATTGATTCTCTCAATTTTCCAGAATCTGAGAGAGACAGAAGGAGAGAAGGGGCTCAGTGTATTATAGAAGGTCCCCCGGCAGAATAGGCCTATATCAGCCTAACTAGGGGCTGGTCCAGAACAAGCCTGAGCCTGCCCTACCTATAAGCTTTATCAAACAGGAAAGTCTTAAGTCTAGTCTTAAATGTGGAGATGCGCTTCCATAGTCCTTTCTGTCGTTCTTGAAGCTGTATTGCCTGATGCCCAGAAACTACCTCATAAACATTGCAGCAGCCGGCTAAGCGGAACCATTGCTGCCGTGTTTCATTTTGTTAAAGTTGTCCGACTTAGCAACAGTGAATAACGGGGGCCGCGGGATTTAAATTCAGTCAATTGTTTCAGTTTCTGGTGTTGACATTTGTTTCTGTACTACATTTACTAAGTGAATCAATCCCCGTGACATGCCAGTAATCTTGAGTCGAACTCCTTCTTTCCCAGTTCTTGAGGCAAGAGACAGAGTCTCTGTGGTCTGAGTATGCGAACCAGTGCTCTCAGTGTTCCCAGTTGAGCGGGAACACTGGTCTGGAGCAAGAGAAGGCTGAGCTGCAGGAGCAGTGGCGCAGCCAACAGTCCAAACTTCAGAAGAGGGGTAGCTCGCTAGGCGCCGCCCTCAGACAGATCGACTCCACCGAGAACCACATGGTGGACTTCACTGACCGTCTGGACCGCTACCTGAGACAGCCCAAAGACGTCACTGCCTTCACACTGGCCAACACCAACATCCTGAAAGATATCAAGGTCCGCTGTCAGCCATCAATACCTTTCATTTGTGTTCTGTCCATCTGTGACACAGAAGTCATGTATGCAATAATCAATATTATTGATAGTGACTCCTCTCTGAGGCTGAGATTTACCAGAAGTATATAACCTCTTACTGATTGCTGAGAATCACAAGAGATGATCAAGACTAAAGGTGTGTTTAAACAGAAGACGTCCATGTGGGTTGAAAATGTTTCTTCAGCAATATACCCTATTTGAAATATGTTTTCAGCCAAGTACTCCTCTGACCAGTGCAAAACATTTTTGTTAAAAAAAAAAGAAAGAAAAAAAAAGCCTATATAAAGGGCACTTTAAGACCTAGAGTTGTCTTGCTTTGGTCAAAACAATTCACAAGTTAGATTTGGGCAAATAAAAACGGAAAAATGCTTTGCTGCAGTCTGAATGCACTTTAGCATGAATCTTAACGTTGTGCTTGTAGCTGAAGCAGCTTTGGCAGAAAAATGTGCATATTGAATTTGTTAACAAATCTCACACCTCCTAGCCATCTTAGCTTACGCTGCACTTTGCTTCCTCTAACGATAGGAACTGGATGACAACATTCAGAGCGAGCTGGACCAGCTGTCCCGTCTAGACCCTGAATCCAGCGATCTGGACCCCAGAGACAGTTGTCCTCTGTCCCGAGAAGTTGAGACTCACAAAGCCAGCCTGGATCAGCTCCGACAGCAGGTCCGGAAGAGCGAAGCAGCCGCACGTGCCCTCGACCGCTTCCTCATGTCATTGCGCACTGTGGATGAAGACATCTCTGGAGTCCAGGGCGCCCCCTGCAGTGACCCTGTGGTACTGCAGGACTGTCGCTCCAAGCTGGGTCTGATCAGGCAAAGCATTGACAGTCTTAAGGAGAAGGCGCCTCAGCTGGATGTGCTCCTGCAGGGCGCCAGGCTGACAGTCACCAGGGAAGGTGTCCCGGCCTCCTGCCTGGACATGGTGACCGCTCTGCTGAGGAGGCTGGAGGAGGCTGACAGCGGGCTGGCCGGACAGCAGAAGGGTCTCCAGAAGGAGACACAGAGCAAATCACTGGGCCTGAGGAAGAGGACGCTGCTGGGGGAGCTGAGTAAGCTGCAGGAAACAATAGAAACACAAGGCCTGAAGGAGCCCACCATACCTGCTGTACAAAACAGGTGTGTTTTGTCTGTCTTCATGCTGATGCAACAATACTCAAGATTTCTTTTTCATGGTTGTAATTTTTAATACCTTAATGCTGTTTTTTAGGGTTAGGGTTCTGATGTTGTTTTTAATGGCATCCTTTTCATTGGGGTGTATGTTAAAGTTTACTCTATGAATCAGAGTTGGCTTGCTTCATGCACACGAGATGTTTCTTAGAATATAAATCTAAGACTTGCAAAATCTTTTTGCAGAATTAAAAGCCGAATTCCTAAAATTACATCTTGATAATGATCCTGTATTTTCCAGGCTACGTGCCCTGTCAGATTTGGACGGTCAGGTGCAGGCGCAGCACGCAGAGCTCAAGAACCTCCGTGAACTTCAGGAGAAACAGGGAGGAGAAGAGCACGTCCTTCAGGAAGTGGAGACTCAGTGGAAGGAGATTCAGAGAGCTTTTTCTGACAGGTATGTTAAACAGGAGCCGGTTCATTAAAGAATAAGTGACTGCTGGCCACCTCAGCAATATGTGTTAGCTCAGGGTTCCTACACAGTATGGAGATGTATGGAATTTAATTTCAGTAATTTCCAGGTCTGGATAAGTATGGAAAAATATTAGTGTTTCCTGACTATTACCCCTGCTCTGAATTCTAAAATATAAAGTTAGGATTTTTGAAAATAAATAGATCATACAAGCAGAGTATTTTTCTTGGTGTTTAGCACTGTGTGAGAGATTGCAGGACAGAGGGAGCCTGATGCCGTCAAAAGCAAGGCGAGAAGAACGGCGTACAACTGAATTCACACTTCTCTATAAGTGTACGTCACAGCCTGCAGAACAGCTCTATCCTAAGTGCCTTATACCTGAACCAAATCTGGAAATCTGAGACCAAATTAGTTTGAAATAAAATGTGGCAAATTATTGAATTGCATATATATAAGCATCACAAATTACCAAATGTTAAGCTTGTTGAACATTTCTGAATTATGCGGTGATGTTACCAGAAAAGTAAATCTTTTCAGCATAAGGAAACCTTTATGGCTGCGTCTGTCATCTCTTACGTGGACACAGTGAATAATCTTAAAAAATGTTGTCCACCTTTCTGCAGAACAGTTTGGACTAAATGGCCACAGTGGGTAAATGCAAGTTTTCCGAGAGCTGGCTTGGCAATCGTACATATAAAACCTGGTTGGCGAAGGATTCTAAATGGGAAAAGAAAGCTAGACACAAACTTTGTGTAAAATCATTTGACATCTAAAACATGCAGAAGGTGGCAATTGTAAGCCATATGCAAAGGCGGAAGTACTGTTGTTTGATCACAACATCCTCTATGCCCAGACTCAAAACGTTTTTGGACCAACCCACTGAGAAAAGTCTGGAAAAATATGGCATTTTGAAATGGAAAATGTGTTAAAATTGAGCTTACACTGTAACTGTTAACATAAACAGATATGTTAAGCTGTGTAACAAACTGACCTTAGCCGACTAGTCACTGTAACTTCTACTGGATGTGGATACTGTAATAAAAATAGTAATATTAGCTAGAAGGAAATTCATGTAAGCTCTTCATACAGCAGGGTTGCAGCGGTATACCTGTTTCAAAGTATACTGTGATATGAACATTAGAGGTAATCGTTCTGTGTATATTTGCTTAGCTACAATATTGAATAAAATGTAGTCATTTTCAAAAGGGAGACTGTTTACACAAAAAAAAGTGTTTCCAAGTTTCATTTATAGTAATAAAATGTTTGTTCAACCAAAAATAACCCTTCAATTTTTATTCCTTAAGAGTCATTCTGACTGATAATAATAATTATTCTGTAATACCGTGATATTTTCTGAAACAGTTATCATACCTTGAAAATCTCATACCGTTTCAACTGTGTCTTACAATTCTTTTTGGGTGCTAAGGTGAACATTTTCAGCTGCACACAGGTATGTCAGGCCAAAAGCATTGTATGTATGGCTGACAGAAGGCAAGACATGGCTTAAAATCCCTTCTGTTGTTGTCTTCCTGTGGCAGGAATAAGCAGTGCAGCGTCCTGCTGGAGCTTCTGAAAAAGTTCCAGAGCTGCCGCAGTCAACTGAGCAGCACCATGCAGAAAGCAGAGCAGACCATCAGTGAGCGGGCTTCCTACCTGGGCAAGGAGAACCTGCAGAGAACCATTACCACGGTCAGTCCACAGAAACAACACTGTTTGTCTGCAGAAATCCTTCATGTACAGTTGACAGGATTTACATGTAATAAGAGTGTTAGGACACATGCACAGTAAATGAAAAAGACCAGTAGATGGCAGACACATTCTAAAATAAGCTCAGTCACTGTGTGTTCAGGTCTACTGTATGCTCACATGTATGTCTGTTCAGGTCCGTGACATTAAGAAAGAGCTGGGTGGTATTGGAGAGGGCGTGGAAGAAATGAAGGGTGTTTGCCGACAGCTGCAGACTCAACTGAAGAAGTTCCCAGACTGCAGTGAGGTGCCCTTTGAAGGAGAGGCTAACACACTTATGGACAACTGGCTGGATGTAAGAAACTGTGTCTCATTCCCCGAAAAATCAGACAGGAGCATATGAAATGAGTACTTTTCATATTTATAAACAAATAGATGTAAGTTTAGCTGTCTAGTTACTATGTCAGAAAAATAAATTTAACAACATTGCTTGGCTCCCCCTAGTGGATTACAGCATCTCCAGCTCTGTCTGTGAGAAAAATTACAATTACATTTTAAATCTGCACAAGTTACAAAATGTCTAAATGTTATAAATTCTGATTGTAAAACTTCTTTTTATAACTTAACTTGCCTGAATGTTTATTTTTGATGCCCTTGCAGGTGACAGAGAAGACAGATACCTACATGGATAACCTGCAGGTGGGGCTGGAGCTGTGGGAGAAGCAGCTGATGCTGGGGGGAGAGGTGGACGGCTGGGCAGGGGCCAAACTGGTCCTGTTTGCTGAGAGCCATCCCTTCCACAATGAGCAACAAGTACTCGCCATGAGGGTAGGATTCCCCATAGATTTAAAATTCTTATTGTTCCCTGCTAGTCTGAGCATCGTCCCAAAAAGAGCATTTGTTGGAGATTTAGATGGAAAACAGTGAACTATTGTGACACTTAAAAATTGCCTCTTCCCTGATCTTTTACTTTTTCACATATATATCATTTATATGTAGGAGATGAGTTTTATTATTTTTGTTGCTTTGTAGGATGAGATCCACGCCAATGAGGAGAACATTGAACATTTCCACAAGAAGTCTGTCGAGATCCAGGAGATGCTGCAGAGTCGGGAGGCGCCACTGGAGCTGCAGGTGAGTTTCAGTGCTTATAGATCTGTATTCTGGCTCTCAAATTTAGTGTTTGTTACCTCCGCCAAAAAGGTTACTTTTCGGCTGTTTGTCAGCAGGATTATAAAAACTACTGGCCCAATTTTCCTCAAACTTGCTGGAAGGGTGTGGCATGGGCCGAGGAAGAACTTATTATATATTGGAGTGGATCTGAATCAGGGAGCAAATACATAAATTATTTTAACTTTTGTTAAACTAGACGTATGCGACATTGATAACCTGGGCCAGGATTTGCACGCACACAGCTCTCACCTAGAACATCAGCAGCAAACATGGAGGTGGCTGAGCTGAAATGGGGGTAGCTAGCAGTGCAGTGACAACAAGTGCAACAGTGTTGACATAGCTAACAGCGTTGACGGAGTTAGTCACCCACAGTCGTGACTCAGGACAGTGTTATCAGCGGCAACAGCAGTATCATCACTACCATATGTGCACCGCTCTCCCACACATGCCTGGCAATGCACAGTGCACAGTGCAGAGTGGCAGCTATTAGCTAGCTATATTGCACCTTTGACATTACGAGAAAAGGCATTTGGCCTCGGTTCTGCGCTCTCTTTGACTTTCTAGTTTTACAATGTCTGTATCCTTATTACAATGTCTCCATAAGGTGATGGAGACCCAGCTGAGGAAGAGGATGGAGCAGGTGAAGGAGCTGTTTGCCGACTGCACCGACGTCTTTGAGGAACTGGTAGCTGTGAAGAAACACCTAACTGAGAAGATAGAGGAGTGCCAGTGCGCTGTAGAGGGTATCCAGTGTTCTGTCAACAGTGTTGATGCGTCACAACCAACGGTGGAGGATGAGTTACAGGTACACAGCTGTTACATGTTGTAACTCACTTTTGTTTAATGCTTTATTTGATAGAGCTTATTTGTAGATTAAAAAAAATCACATATATACCCCACACTATATATTTCTGTGATTTTCTGCCTTCCAGATTTTCAGAATTCAGTGTCACATGTGTGCAGCTTTTACAGTTTGATATGATTTAGTAAAAAAAAAAAGCCTTTGACCTTGACATACTGTAAGGATGATAATGGGGCCCTAACTTCACAAAATTATGTCAAATAAATCACTGTCATTGCCCTCTGTGTTCCTGATGTATGTTGTTGGTATATCAGCATCTACAGTGACATTAAAAAATTTACAGTACCGTCTGGTTATAATGACAGAATTAGTGTAAGAAATATGTCAAACTTGTGTACACTCTTAGGAACGTAAAAATGCTGATGAATGGTGTTATTAAGAAAAGGAAATTTGAATTCTTTAACAAAATTTGGAGTTTATTTAATTCACATTAATGATCGTGGCTCTTTTCCTTTGATTCTACTGTCACTAGAACATCCAGCATTGCCACTGTTTTATCTCCTCACCAGAATCTGTGTGACGATCTGGAGACTCAGGAGGAGCAGGCTGAGGCAGCGCTGAAGGAGGTTGGTTTGATTTCCAGCGTGGCCAGTCCTCAGGTGCTGGAGGCGCTGTCTGCAGACTGCGACAGGCTGAAGGAGGCCATTTCCCGCACCAAGGAGATGATCCACCTGAAGAGAGAGGAGAGGGACAAAGGCCTGCTCAAGGTTATCAAAGGTTAGTCAGTAGGTCTAACATGAGTGTGTTTTCATTCATGTATAGTCAATTATGATTTTTAAAGTACTCTGTTTATTTTTGCCATGGCACTATAGCATTGGCAATGGATACCAAAAGACTCAAACTTATTTATTAACCTTTTTTAACAGTCCATGATCTGATTTATTTTGCAACAAAGCAAAAAAATAAATAAAAGTAAATGTAAAAGATGCACTGTATGATGGAACCTAATTTGTAGCTATTCTTTAATATTTTATTTATGAATCATGTTTTGTAATCTCATACGAGGGTCATATTTTTCTTGTTTTTATTCCAGATGAAAAGCAGTCGTTTGAGGAGTGGTTCCAGGACCTGCAGCTGTCTGTCAATGAGTGCTTTGAGCAGCCTGAGAGCAGAGCAGACGTGGAAACATCCCTGCAAAAACTCACTGTAAGTGGCTGACTAAGCTGACGCATCTATACATACTGTAGATTGTTGGATGATGAATGGGTCCTCACGGTTTCTTAATGTCCATCAGGCTTTCTTGAAATCCAGGGATGCAGAGAGACGTCTGGAGCAGCTGAAAGATCAGCTGGAGAGAGGCAGCAAGCAGGTTCCTCCTCAGCAGCTCTCTGAGTTTAAGGACTGGCTGAAGGAGCAGGAGAAGGAGGTGGGCAGGTTCAGAACCCACTGTGACAACAAGCAGAAACAAATGGAGCCACTCCTCAGTGACTTGAACAGGTAATTACCTCCGCCATGGAGGTTATGCTTTAGCCGGCGTTTGTCTGTTTGTTTGACTGCAAAATAACTCAAAAAGTTCTGAACGGATTTTGATGAAATTTTCAGGAAAGCTTGATAATGGGACAACGAACAGATGATAACATTTTGGTGGTGATCGGTTGAAGCGAAGTGGATAAAATAATAAAATAGCGGGAAATCTGAGCTGCTGCGGAGGTCTGTGCTCTCCGAGTGCTTTTCTAGTTACTTCTTTGGTCCACTGAACAGCAAGTCAGCAAATTATGATAGATATATTTCTGCTTCTGCTGATGTAATAGTCATGATGTTAAGTGTAGAATCAGGACTTTCTGATCTGTAATCTCACAAACTACAGACTAGGGCTGTCAATGAATATTTTAAATTCGAATTTAAATTTGAATTTGAAAAAAAGCGAGAGGTCCGCGATCGTTTATAACGTAATGTTAAAGATAATTGTTTTATGTGTTTTAATGTGTAGGTATGTAGCCTAAATGTTTTCAAAGACGTTTATGTTGAAATAGTAAGCAAGTAGTTATGTTTCCTTGTATTAATACATATACAAGTATGTTTCCTTGTATTAGTTTGCCCTCTTGTGGACATAATGCGAAAAAAATTTTTTTTTTGAATGGTTCAAACCTACGAGTTATTTTTAGAACGAATATTCGAACGTCATTTTTGAGCAATTTTGACAGCCCTACTGTTAAAAATGTTGAAACATGCTCTCTGAGTTGTGTCTTTTGGTCTCTAGTCTGCAGATGCAACATGACAGCTTCCGTGAGTGGCTGCAGACCAAAGAAAAACAGTCTGCGAAGACTGTCAATGCCAAACTTCTACTCACAGACCTTCAGGATGAGAGGTGATCTTGAACACTCATTCGTTCTCATATCATTCCTTCATTTTCCTTAACTGCTTATCCTGTTAGGGGTCGCAGGGGTGCTGGAGTCTATCCCAGCTGACACTGGGTGAGAGGCAGGGTTCACTCTGGACAGGTCACCAGACTATCACAGGGCTGACACATAGAGACAGACAACCATTCACACTCACATTCACACCTACGGACAATTTAGAGTCACCAATTAACCTGCATGTCTTTGGACTGTGGGAGGAAGCTGGAGCACCTGGAGAAATCTGCACAGAAGGGCTTCTGATTTAAAATAAGATAAACTGCCAAAAACTAGAGCTTGAAGCCAAACACTGTTAATCCACAGAATACAGATGAACCACATGCTGTTAGATGCTTTTGTCCTCTCCACTTGTCATCCTTCTGTCTCACTTTCTTTTTTATTTTGAATTGTGTTTCTTTTATATGTTACTATCTGTATGTCTTGTGTAAATCACTTTGAATTGCCTGCTGCTGTTAAAAGGTGCTGTACAAACAAACTTTCCTCATCTTACCGTCCATGTGACAGTGGCAGAGTCGAGAGCCTGAAAAAGCTGTTAGCATCACTACGCAAACAAGGCGTCAGAGGTGAAAGCCTCCTGAAGGACGGTGATAACTTGATACAACGGTACAGTAACCTGGAGGCCAGACTGCAGAAGCAGGCAGATGCCCAGAGCGCCCTGGAGGGGGAGTTTGACAAGTTTAATACCCAGACCGAGAGCACCAGGACCTGGATAACTGACCTTGTGAAACCCCTCACCTCCACCGGCAGAGACACCCAGACTGAGGAGATAAAGCAGAAAGCACAGGTCAGTGAAAGAGAGTTTGAAATCCAATCCAGTCGATTAAGACTACACTTATTTTATTTCTTTTTTTTTTTTTTTTTTTTTAGTAAGTTAACTTACTCAGGCTAACTCATATTCATATCTTAGCATATTATGGTAGCTTTGATCTCAATGTACAATTGAGGCTGAATGAAAGTAGGTCAACTGTTTTATAAATATTCTGTCATGAAGTGAACTGTTGCACAAGTGGCAGTTTTAACCTGTTTGTGGCACTAGATAAAAAGTCAGGGATCATCAGAGTCATTTGGATTTATCCTCTAAGGACCATGAATGTCCAGTTCCGCCCCCGGAAGCAGACTGGCCACTCATAACGTAGCATCTGGCTGGCTCAGACCAGAGTCCGACAACAACACAGCTGTGCTCCATTGTTTCAGATTTCCTTCATTTTCAGGCTGGTTTTGTGGATTTGGAGCTAAATGTTGTGCCTGGGGCACGTCGTGTATTAATGATACTCGTTACCTGGAGAGATTCGAAAAAGATATACGTTTCTTCCCTGTTCCAAAACCAAAATCAAACCCTGAAAAGTGTAGGGTTAGCTAGCTAGCTACTGAAGATATAGCCTACTGAATGTATACACATGCTGCTTTTGAACCAGTGAAGGGAAGCAGGGAAACTTTGCTGATATTCAGCCATCTGTGTGTCATCACATTGTGTGCAGATTAATGTTGTTTGACTTCCCTCAGAGACCCCCCTGCCTGTCCAGAGGTGGAGGTCCAGGTGCTGGCAGCAGCACGGGGGTGAAGCCAAACACTGTTCACCTGCACACACTGCAATGCCACACAGCTGGTTCAACATCAGCAAAGTTTCCCTTTATATTCATTGTCTTGTGTGGCGATCAGCAGTGATGTGGTGGTTCACTTTTACACTGTGATCTGTAGCCTATAGTTCGGCTTTAGCTTCTAACTATCTTTGTCTTTTTAACCTGTTGTTGCTGCACACACTGTAGACCCCTCTGTCTGCTTCTCTCTGGAATCACTCTTTCATTTTTCCAAATATATGATAATATTTCTTCAGGGAGTGCATTTAGTTACAGTGTGGGCTCTATGCTTACTGTGACAGCTTGTCGGACAATCACAAAGGGGCGGGGCTTAACGAAAAGGTCAATTCATTCGAGAGCTGTTGAAATACTTCAATCAACAGATTGACTGATTAATATTCGTACTTCCTATAGCCATGCCACTAATGTCACTAAGATTTATTTTCCTTTTCTAAAAGTTTTTCCCCCCATTTTGTCACCAGGCCGTCCTGAGCTCCAAACCTGAGGGAGACTCTAAAGTGAGCAACCTGAGAAGAAAAAGCGAAAGTCTGTGTGAGCAGGAGGACCTGGAGGAGGGCAAGAAACAAGAGGTTCAGCAGTCTGTCAGAGAAACAGAGGAGCAGTGGAAGACAGCTCTGAAGACAGCTGAGGACAATCTCAACAAGGCGGAAACACAAGCCCAGTTAGACAAGGACTTAGATGCTGTCAAAGCCCAGAATGAAAATATCCAGTCCTGGATCAAAGAACAGGAGCAGAACGTACAGTCGCTTGGTGGTTGCATACAAGTCGGAGAAAAGCTACAGATTGCACAAGTAAGTTGGTTGTGGATCAGTTTGTGAAGGTTGTAATGTCTGAAACATCTTGTAAAGGCTTTTTTTCTGAAGATAGAAGCAAAATCTCCTAAACACGTCTTTGCTGTCTTTAGGTGACACTGAACTCTAAGCCTGAAGGAGATTCAAAGCTCCAGGATCTGAAGCAAAAATGCCAGAGTCTGTGTGACAACCCGGGCTTGGACGAGAGCAAGAGACGAGAGGTTCAGGACGCTGTCAGACAAACAGAGGAGCAGTGGAGGAAAGTCTTGCAGGCTGCTGAGGAGGGTCTCAACAAGGCAAAGACCGAAGCTTCCACTGAAAAGGACTTTGATTCTTTCAAAACCCAAAGTGAGGGTGTTCAGTCCTGGATCAAAGAGCAGAAGCAGAAGCTGCTCCCCCTCAGTAGTCACATGCCATTTGAGGAAAGGTTACAGGTCGCACAGGTGAGTGTACAAGTCACATCTCAGGTTGTAAAGTTCCTATTACAAGAAAATATAATTTAGTGTCAGTATTGTATAAACCTTTGTATTTTTGCCACCCTCAGGCTGTTATTTCCTCCAAACCTGAGGGAGACTCCAAGGTGCTTGACCTGAAGACACATGGTGAAAGTCTGTGTAAACATCTGGAGGGGAGCAAGAAACCAGAGGTTCAGCAGGTGATAAAAGACACAGAGCAGCAGTGGGGAACAGTCCTACAGGCCGCCAGGCAGGCAGAGCTCAGAAGTCTCTCAGACGACTTTGACGCTCAGAGTAAAAACACTCAGTCCTGGATCAGAGACAAACAGCAGCAGCTACAGTCCTTGGGCAGTCACACACCACCTGATGAGAGATGTCACACAGCTCAGGTCTGTTTGAACTCACTGTACTGAAGTATCAGTATGTTTTCTGAATACGTTTCAGAGTTTAAATTTTCTGACAATAGCTGCTGCTTGGAGCTTCATCGTAGTCATGGTCCTCTATTTCCATTTTACATATTATATAGGTTTTTCACTTCCTGCCTTCCATCTGACTGTTGCTTGGAAAGTTGGTACAAATCATAACATTTAATTAATATTGCATGTTTTGTTTGCAGGCCATCTTGAGCTCCAAACCTGACGGTGACTGTATGGTGAACAACCTGAGGAGACGGGGACAGACTCTCTGTGACCATCAGGACGCAGACAAAGGCAGGAAAGCCCACGTCCAGAAGACGATCAGAGACACAGAAGAGCAGTGGAAGACAGTCCTGCAGGCTGCCAAACAGGTGGAAGCAGCTGCAGAAGTCGAGATGACCATGAAGACTGAACAGGCAAAGCTGAAGGTGAGACAGCTCAGTGTGAAAGAGAGTTATCAGGATGACTCTTCCTGTTGAAAGGAAGTTTTAATTGATCCATTTTGAACCACCTCATAATGTCGGTATAATCTCCTTTTCCAGCTGAAAGAATTTGACACCCAGCAGCAGGACACTCACTGCTGGCTCACAGACTTCCAACAGCGACTGGACTTACTGAAGAGTCAAACCACAGCTGAGGACAAACTGCACACTGCAAAGGTGAACTGACGGGTTAGGAGGAGGGTCAGTCATGTTGCAGTGAGAGATGATGTTGAGATGGGTTTTCAACTACTTAAAATCTTTAAAGCCTCTTTTAGCTCAGTTTTTGTTACATTTACTGTATGGTTCAGTCTCAGCATCAATAACAATAATGCTGTTGAACTCACAGATTTTTTTCATGGCAAGTCTTTACCATGATATGTGACCTCTGTATCCCACCCCCAGGCCATAATGAGCTCCAAGCCCGAAGGAGACTCCAGGATCCAGAAGCTGAGAAGACGAGGCCAGAGCTTGAGCGGTCAGGACCTTGAGGAGCCCAAAAAACAAGAGGTTCAACAAAAAGTAAAAGGCGCTGAGGAGCAGTGGACGAGAGTCCTGCAAAATGCTAAAGAAGCTCTGGATCAGGCTGAGAAGCAGTTTGCTCTGGAGGGCCAGCTGAAGGAATATGAAGCCCTGAAAGAAAACACCAAATCCTGGCTGGAAGACAAACAGCAGAGCCTCGTCTCTCTGGACAGTCAGACAGATCCTGAAAAGATAATCAGCACAGCACAGGTCAGTATGAACACTAAAAGGTTTGTTCTAACATAACAGTTCTGTTAAGTGTGGCATTAAGCCAAAAATCATGCAGTTTTGGGTCTGCTTAATTACTATATTATCTAAATTTTGTGAAGCATGTCTCAAGTTTTCATTCCTTCACTCATGCATGCTTTTTTCAACCTGAGCAAAAATAGTTTTGTTTTTTCGTGCTGTTCTTTTTTATGTTATTTGTGATTAACATGTTTTCACTTCTAATCTGTAAGACTGATTTGTACATTCAGATAGTTTTGTCAGACAGGACCGGCATTTTCCTCTGCCACTGTCATATTTTTTTTTACTGGCCTGTCAATAGTATTTCTTTTAATTTTTCAATTTTTTTTTAGAAGTATACATTTTTTTAACCCTCAGACTATCCTGAGCTGTAAGCCTGAGGGAGACTCCAAGCTGACAGAGCTGAGGAGACAGAGCCAGAGTCTGTCTGACCAGGAGGACCTGGAGGAGGACAAGAGACAGGAGGCTCAGCAGACAGTGAAAGATTCAGAGGAGCAGTGGAAGACGGTCCTGCAGAAGGCAGAGAACACTCTGAAGAAAGCTGAGGTCCAATACTCGCTCTCCAGGGAGCTGGAGTCCTTCCATACCCAAGCAGGGAACACCAAAACCTGGGTCAAAGAGCTGCAGGAACAGGCCAAGTCCAAAGGCAGTGGCACTCAGGGCAGCCGTGCTCAGATAGAGGACAGGCTGAACACAGCACAGGTGAAACATTAACTATGGTGGCTTTTGAAAATCGTAAGTAATTGGGCATTGTTTTCAATCACAGGAAAGTTCTTTGTTACATCTGTGCGGTGGACATTTGACAGGTTTTTTACAAAGCAACACATATCTAATAAAAACACTGTTAATGATTGTGTCTTTAGGTCATTTTGAGCTCCAAGTCCAACGGTGAGGCTCAAGTGATGGAGCTGAAGAAACGAGCTAAGAGTCTGTGTGACCAAAAAGACCTGGAGAAAGACAAGAGACAGGAGGTTCAGCAGACTGTCAAAGATACTGAGCAGCAGTGGAAGACAGTCCTGCGGGCTGCTGAGGAGACACAGAGGTTCAGATAGCTGTTTTTAGCTTTTTGAAGGAAAATCATGATTTGTTTATTTCCTTTTACATAAACGTCACTGTGTGAGCTCACACAGATGAGCTGCCTGAAGCTTGTTATAAAGGTTCAGCCCACTACAGCTGCAGGCAACAGTCTGAAATCATTTTTTAAAAGGAAATAATTGAGTAAAAATATTTAGATGAAGTCTGATTGTGAGATTTTACTAAAAAAAAGCCTGTTTTCAGAGGTCAGCCTTAAAGGAGCTCTACATCTCATTCAGAACATTGATAAAGCAGCAAACAGCTGTTGCTATGTAGGGATATAATGGAGTAATGGTGTCCTGAGCAGACAGGGCAATAACAGTTGGGCCTCCACCCCTCTTCCATCAGTAAGTTTTTTTTCCCTATAGTGTCAGAGGCATGATCCGCCCTCATTTGCCTTACTCTGACTTTGATTTGCTAACCCTGACATTCTTACCCTAACCCAGTGGTTTTCAAAAGTTATTGTGCCGTGGCACACTGAGAGGCAAGCCAAAATCTCAAGGCACACCTGTATTTGCAGTCAGACTCTACTGGTTAACACTGATAGCTCTGTCTGCACTTTTGCTGTAGTTGCTGCTAGTTGGCGGCCCAGTCACTGCCATGTTAAGAACCTTGTGCAGTCAGCTTGGATCAGACTCGGTGTCATAGATTCCCTCTGAGTGTCATATAGAGCCCCTTTAACCAGTGGCCAGTACAGTGTCCAAAAAAGCTAAAAGCTAGATACAAATGCATGGAGGGCAGCTAGATTCTTGCTCTGAAAAATCTCTGACTTTACAGAACAATACTCAAAAATCTTTTGCGTTTTTACATGCTATATAAGGAACTTGTTTTCTCAATAGTTTGAATTTCCTGGCCCCAGTAACTGGCAAACAGACCCAAATAAGAACACAAACATCATACCGTATCCATGTTTTTTACAGAGTGTGATCCCTTGAATTTGAAGGATGAATTTAGACTGACATAAATTAAAATTCAGATTTTTTTCATGTCACCCATAATGTGCTGTCCCCCATCAGGCAGTTGAAGGGTGTTGTGGAGCGCATGGCGTCCTGTCAGAACCAGCGAGAGCAGACTGAGGCCAGTCTGTCTGACCTGCAGAAGCAGACGTCCAACCTGCCGCGTGTCTTCCCCTGGCCGGGCCTGGGAGAGCGGAGGCAGGCGGTGGAAAACGCCCGGAGCCTGCTGGACCAGAGCACAGCTTTGGCCCCTGTCCTCTCAGACGTCCGCACACAGGTAGAGACCCCACAGCAGAGCAGGTTCAACTATATGTTCAAGATAGCTGCAATATGCTCTCTCAGGTTGAGTTGCTTGCACAATCAGATGTAACATCAAGTCAGTAACATCTTCACTGTATTACACTGTTCACGTGCAGGCTGCAGAGCTGTTTAAGACCACACAGGACCCTGGCTGGTCAGATCCCTCCTGGGCAGCCAAGGAAGAGGCCATTCCTGCTCTGCTGAAAGAGCTGACTGTAAGTCCAGCACTCTACAATGACACAATACACAGTAATCCTGAAGATAAAGTATTGTTTTTGTTTCCTTTTTAAGACTTTACAAATATGTCATAATTTATTATGTGATATAAATTTCCATTTCCATTGAGACAATATGTTGATCTAAACATGTCTAAATATGACACAACTATTATGAATGGCAATTTTATCAGTAAGTTCTAAGGTATGAAATGTTTTCCACTCATAAAGTGTCTGTTTTTTAAATCAATATAAGTGTAAATATCTTTTACACTTTATTATTCGTGGGCTCCTTTATTCATGGATGGTTCTGTCTTTACAACACTGGCTAGGTGTGGTCTCTTCTTCTGGATAGAAGTTAAAACAGGAGTATTAATATTCTGTATGTAGCACAGCCACAACTACAAGAACAAGATCATCTCCCCGGCCCACTCCATTGTCCTTTTCTTTCCCTCTAGCTTCCCTTTTTCAAGTAGAACATATCTCGTCTAAGATTATTTTATCTGTCCAAACAAATTTCATTATAACAAGAGTCTGATCAGTGGCCTAATTTCTCTGTCTGTAAAAATGCAATTCCTGTTGTTTTCAGGAGGCAGCGGTTAATCTGGAGCAGGGCATCCTAATGGAGAGGCAGTGCACCCAGCTGGTGGAGCAGCATGAAGCAGCCCAGGACTGGCTGAGGGAGCAGGTTAAAGGCCTGGGAGCTCCTCCAGCAGACAGACAGGGCCTGCACAACACCGTCAACACTCTGAAGGTCAGATAGTAAAACACATACACAACTATTAGTTGGAGAGAAGCCAGTGGCACCATGTTTAATCTGTCACTGATATATTTCTGTTGCACCAAATTGAGTGAATCCCTTTGCTGGTAACAAAGGAATTATTTTCTTAGACATTTGAGAGCGATATTGAAGACATGATGATTCACATTTGGACAGTTTATGCATGTTTAGTTTTTCACCAATGAATGGCACGTCTCATCTGTGGATATCTGTGGAGTCAATCAATGCCCAAATCTTTATGTTTTTGAATATTATATATAGTGTATATAACTTTTAACCAGATGGTCAAAAGGTGTCTCCGAGGATATGAAAAATTGTTCTTTCTGCATTCTAATAATCTGGATCTCCTCTGTCTCTCTCCTAATGCCAGGCCTTACTCCAGACAGTGGACAGGGAGAATAAAGAGATGAAGGAGCTGGACTCTGCCAGAGACAGTTTACTGAACCTCTGCACCCCTGGAGGACGGGATGCCCTGACCCTTGAGGTCAGCCAACTCCACGACCTCTGTGCCACCTCAGAGCGGGAGGTGAAGGAGCGCCTGAAGACCTGTGAGACGCGGCTGGAGGAGCTGGACGGTCAGCTGGCCAAGAGGGCCAAGGGGCTAAAGGAGAGAGCAGCAGCCCTGCAGTGGGAGCTCCGCTCTCTGGACCAGGCGCTCAGTTACAGCGAACCACATAACAACATCACTCAGCTCCAACAGCACTGGCACAGCCTTCAGGTTATTACTGCTTTATTTATTCAAGCACAGAACCTGATGTAACAACCTGTTATTATCTCAGTATGATGAGTTCACACAGTGTGTGAATATTGGAGTTGATAGCTCATCATTAATGTAAAACTGCTTCCACCTGCAGGTATGTGAGTTTTGCTGATGTGACTGTTGCCAGCATGTAAATATCACTTACATGATGTTGTTCTTCTTCCTCTCTCAGAACTGTGAGAAATCTCTAGAAGATTTGGGTGTAAAAGTTCACGACCTTAACCAGGAAGTAAAAGCTACTCCTGCCACTGATGAGCTGCCAGCAGAAATTACGACTGTGGTGCAGTCCTTATGCCAGCAACATGACAGGTACGGTGCTTATAACAGATCACGTCCTCAACTTTATATGGCAATAATAATACTAATAATAATAATGACTTTATTAAGGACACAGAAACGTCCATAACCTACCACATAAACACAGACAATTGTCTATGTACTAAATGCAACGTTCATATAAAACAAAATTCAATTAACTGCACCCACAAACAAGCTGGAGAGCCAGTGGCCCCACAGTCTAGATGAAAACCTGACTGAGCTCAGCTCAGGGTTGGCCAAGGCCTGGATGATACCATTTTCTGAGACAGAGAGCCTGCACACATATCCATATGTAAGATTTCGTGTTAAAGCTGGGCAGGTAGGCACACCAACATTTGCAAACATTTGGCACTACACCATCGTGTAGTCTTCTTCACTTGCTATCATAATGTTACTCTTATTGGCATTATATTTGAGGTCAAAATCAGCATCACAGTTAAAGCTAGTGCTGTCAAGAGATTAAAAAAATGGAGAGATTAATTAATTATGATATGTAATTAATTGATCTAATTAATCTCTTTTTTAATCTCAAAATTGCTGAGAAAAGCCCTCAACTTGAGGTATTTTCATTTAAATTCATTACATTATTGTGGCAGATGATCAAAAGATTGATATATATTACAAAAAGTGGTTTTATAAAGTCATAATTATTGTTTTCAACAATAACACACTTGAACACAGATGCAGTACACCTAGCCATTACATTCTGTTGTTTTTGAGATTAGTCCCAATAAAGAGTGCTGCAACCTTCAGTCTCTACCACCAGGGGGGTGCTTGACTGCCATGACATATCAGCTTCATTAAAACCATAGCTGCAGATTAACGCAACAATAGATGTAAAAACACACAGAAACAATACATCTGTGATCAGTTCCCTAATTTTATTTTAACAATTTTCTAAATTATTTTCCTCTTTTCCAATTTTTCGTTTTATTTCATGGAAGTGATCAATGTAAGTGCACTTAAACTTAATAAAAAATAAAAGCTAACAAAATAAAAGACACCTGGTACATTCGTTACAGCTGTATCAGTTTATAGAACAGTTTTAAACAGTTAGAACAAGAGGCTGCACTGCAACGTGCAAATCACTCCTTCTCGTGGCTGCCGGCGCTTTCCCTGTCCTTGCGGCGGCAATTTGCGCTGTCTTCTCTTCTTCAAACTACAACACCCATAATTCATGTAGGAACTGCTGCAGCCAGTGTGCAGCCGGTGGGAGCTGCATAACAACTCAATCACCATGATCAGTTTTTAATGTTTTATCGGGCAATAACTACTCCAGACTCTGCTCTAGTGTAATTTTTGGGACAATCAGGGCAGGATTCAGGACAACTGCTTGGATTTCAGGACTGTCGCAAATTTTTTGGCACAGTCCCGAAATCCAAGCAGTTGTCCTGAATCCTGAATCCTGCCCTGATTGTCCCGAAAATTACACGGAGGTTGCCAGGGAGGTCAGATACTTGCGTGCTAGGGCAGACAGCTTTTTATAGGCTCCTGAGTGAGCAGACCGCCACTGCAGGGGACAGTCATCAATGCTGATGCTGGACTCTGCTCTGTAGCGCTGCAGCTCTCCCACAACTCAAGCACAAAGAAGCCCAATCGTACACCTACAGATGGATTTTGTAAAAGGCAACTCTGTGGCATACAGAAACAGTAAAGTTAGAGATTGAAAATGAGATTAACTCCATCAAAAAAACATAGCATGTTAAATATGGCTGTAATTAATTATTCACAATTAACGCGATAATTTGACACCCCTAGTTAAAGCAAATCTCCAACAGCTGTTGTAGGCCAGCACTATATGGGCAGAAGATTACCAAATCATCTGCATACATAAGATGATAGCCTACTTAAACAGATTCAACATGACATGACATTTTAGGTCAGCTGGCATCCCTCTATTTCAGTTTGGTTTTCAATCACTCTTACATACCAGAAACATGTCTTAGTGAACCATTCTGCCCTCTGTCAATGACATGGAAACACAGAGTTCTCCTGATTTGTAACCTCTTTGAAACATCCAAAGATTACATGTTATCTGATGACTATTTTAATGTCTTCCTTTTGCACACTGTTTTATACTAGAAAAAAATGCACATATTTGCCTGTTTTCATTTTAATCTCACTGAGTATAATACATGCTGATACCATGCAAGATGTTGTGTATACAATAAATGTGGTTCAATTATGTCTACAGTCTAAAATCCAGGCTGAGTGACCGTAAGAGTACCTGCACTGCAAACACGGCTCGCTGTCTGATGGACTCTCTTCACGCCCTGCAGGAGTGGAACCTCAGCCGACCACCAGAGTCCAGTTCTTCTGTGAAGGTTTCTGTCTTTTAATGATTTTACTGTGTTGCTAGGTAATGTAAGTACATTGTTTCGGTAAACATTTGTACAGTTGAATACATCTGAGAGCTGCCTGGGATATCTAGTCTTCTACTATTGTTAGTGTGTCACTCAGGGGCATCTTGCTGGGAGATGGTGGACATATAAAGAGTGTCATTTATTCTTACATGCACAGATTTTCTAAAGTCACCCTAAACCAGAATCAGGTAGAATTATGTTTCAAATTTGTTGGGAAAATATACTTTAATGGAAACAGAAAAACAAATGAGTTTGTCACCATAGAAAAGTTGGTGAATTAAAGGATTTCTGAAGTGTAACATTTGTCAACATTTTATTCGCAAACAAGCATTTTTTTCATCTCTACTAACACTTAAATATTTTTTTCCTCCTGGGGTTAGGTGACATTAGAGGAAGGTGAGAAGTTGCAGGCCAATTTGCAGGAAGCACTCTCACGCAAGCAGTTTCTGACAGACTGTTTGATGCCAGTCTTGATTGAGAAGCTGGAGAGAGAAGGTTCAGAGACACTCAGAGAAGCAGACACTCATAAAGCTTCTCTCAGCCAGAGCTTAAAGGTATTTAAATCATGTAGAAATACATTTATATACCATGTAATTCATTAAACACTGCTTATTATATTTAGGAAAGATTCAGTTAACTCAGTAGAAATTAATGCCATTCTTATTCTTTCGTTCAAGGAACCTGATGGAAAGAGTAAACAAAAGCTGTCTGATGTACCACACGGTAATGGAGAGGAGACAAAGGCATCTTTAGTGGCACCACCTCGGAAAAGCAAGCGCTCACCTGAGAAAAAACCTCAAGTTACACAACAAAAAAACATTACCTTGACAGAAACATCTACATCTATTGAGGATGTATTGTCAGTTTCAGTTCAGTTGCAAACTGAGGCTAAAACATCAAAGCCTACTGTGACAGTAGTCATGGAAGACACAAAAATAACTGGTGTGGGGCAAACCAGAATTGAACCAACAAAAAAGAAATCTCAGAGTCCAACATATGCTTCAGAACCTTTTACAGCACAACGTGACACCACTTCTCAAGAGGCACAGTTTAAAAGTAGAAAACTAGATACCACAGCTGAGCCTGTTGGAGCTGAGCAAATCAAATCTGCTGTTGAGGAACCTGTGCCGATACAAAAGGTCAGTGAGCAGTCTACACCTGATGTTGGTGAGAAAACTACACTTGTACCATCCAGGAGAAAGAGCAGGACTTCAGCCACTGATACAGAGCCTGCCCAGACTAATGTGGAGCCTGAAATGGTGAAAACTGTAATTACTCAGGGATCACTCATAACTCCAACAGGAACTGCTGCTGTGGAAGAAACAAAGCGTGTAGCAACCATTATTCTAGATGTTTCAGAGCCACTTGCTTCTGCCTCTGACAGCCTGACGTCTTCTTCAGCTCCACAGGTGGCCACAGAACTAACTGAAACTATTGTTGTGAAAGAAAAAATACTTTCTCCAACCAAGAGAAAACCAACAGATCCAAAATCTTCCCCAGAACATGCTACAGAGGAGGTGGCACAGTCAAAGCAAGAGCCTAGCAGTCAGAAGCCTTCACTGAGCTCAGAGGAGCAAATTGAAACTGTTGCTGAGGAAGAAACAAAAGTTATACCAACCAGAGGGAAATCAATGGGTGTTAGGGTTTCCACAGTTGCAGAGCCAGAGTTTGTTCACGCACAAGCTAAAACTATTGTCCTGGAACAAACTAAGCTTATCCCACCTAAGAGGAAGTCAAAGAGTACAGAAACTCCTCTTAAACATGCTGACACTGAGCCACACCAGACAAGGATAGAACCTAAAGATCAAAAATCATCTTTTAGTTCTAATGACCTGAGTATTGTTACTGAAGAAACAAAACTTGTACCGACCACCCGAAAGTCAAACACTGGTGACTTTTCCAAAACTTACGAAGCAGTTGTTACCCATGTTAGATCACTTGATTTGGAGTCTGAGCAAAAAAAGAAACAGCATGATGGTCAAAAGTCTTCAACTCCAGAGGTGGTCAAAGAACCGACTCACAGTCAGAAGCTATCTTCAACACAAGAATTGGTCACAGCACCACTTGAAGTAAGTTCTGTGGAAAAAGGAAAGCTGTCACCAACCAAAAGAAAGTCAAAGGGTCTGAAACTTTCCCCAGAAGGTGCTACCACAGAGCTGACAAAGAGTCAGGAAGAGCTTGTCAGTCAGAAGCCATCTACAACTGAAGAGTTGGTCACAGCAACAACTCATATTACTGTTGTGGAAAAAGAACAGCTGTCACCTACAAAAGGAAAGTCAAAGGGTCTTAAACATTCCCCAGAACTTGCTGCCCAAGAGTTGATAAAGACCAAGGAAGGCCCTCAGACTCAGAGGCCATCCTCGACTCAAGAAATGGTCACAACACCAAGTGGAAATATTGTTGTGGATAAGGGAGAGCTTCCACCAACCAAAAGAGAGTTAAAGGGTCTAAAACTTCCCCCAGAACCTGCTACCACAGAGCTGACAAAGACCAAGGAAGAGCTGGACAGTCAGAAGCCATCTTCAGCCCCAGGTGTGGTCACAGCACCAACTGAAATAAGTACTGTGGAAAAAGGAAAGCTTTCACCAACCAAAAGAAAATCAAAGGGTCTTAAACTCTCCCCAGAAGTCGCTACCACAGAGGTGACAAAGAGTCAGGAAGAACCTGTCATAGAGAAGCCATCTCCAGCTCAAGAATCGGTCACAACAACAACAACAACAACTGAAATTACTGTTGTGGAAAAAGGAGAGCTCTCACCTACCAAAGGAAAGTCAAAGGGTCTTAAACCCTCTCCAGAAGTTGCTACCACAGAGCTGACAAAGACCAAGGAAGAGCAGGACAGTCAGAAGCCATCTTCAACTCCAGGTGTGGTCACAACTCCAACTGAAGTAAGTACTGTGGAAAAAGGAAAGCTTTCACCAACCAAAAGAAAATCAAAGGGTCTTAAACTCTCCCCAGAAGTCGCTACCACAGAGGTGACAAAGAGTCAGGAAGAACCTGTCATAGAGAAGCCATCTCCAGCTCAAGAATCGGTCACAACAACAACAACAACAACTGAAATTACTGTTGTGGAAAAAGGAGAGCTCTCACCTACCAAAGGAAAGTCAAAGGGTCTTAAACCCTCTCCAGAAGTTGCTACCACAGAGCTGACAAAGACCAAGGAAGAGCAGGACAGTCAGAAGCCATCTTCAACTCCAGGTGTGGTCACAACTCCAACTGAAGTAAGTACTGTGGAAAAAGGAAAGCTTTCACCAACCAAAAGAAAATCAAAGGGTCTTAAACTCTCCCCAGAAGTCGCTACCACAGAGGTGACAAAGAGTCAGGAAGAACCTGTCATAGAGAAGCCATCTCCAGCTCAAGAATCGGTCACAACAACAACAACAACAACTGAAATTACTGTTGTGGAAAAAGGAGAGCTCTCACCTACCAAAGGAAAGTCAAAGGGTCTTAAACCCTCTCCAGAAGTTGCTACCACAGAGCTGACAAAGACCAAGGAAGAGCAGGACAGTCAGAAGCCATCTTCAACTCCAGGTGTGGTCACAACTCCAACTGAATTAAGTACTGTGGAAAAAGGAAAGCTTTCACCAACCAAAAGAAAATCAAAGGGTCTTAAACTCTCCCCAGAAGTCGCTACCACAGAGGTGACAAAGATGCAGGAAGAGTCTGTCATTCAGGAGCCATCTCCAGCTCAAGAATTGGTCACGGCAACAACTGGAATTACTGTTGTGGAAAAAGAAGAGCTCTCACCAACCAAAAGAAAGCCAAAAGGTCCTAAAGTTCCCCAAGAGCGTCCTACCACAGAGCTGACAAAGACCAAGGAAGAGCAGGACAGTCAGAAGCCATCTTCAACCCCAGATGTGGTCACAACTCCAACTGAATTAAGTACTGTGGAAAGAGGAAAGCTTTCACCAACCAAAAGAAAATCAAAGGGTCTTAAACTCTCCCCAGAAGTTGCTACCACAGAGGTGACAAAGAGTCAGGAAGAGCATGTCGTTCAGAAGCCATCTCCAGCTCAAGAATTGGTCACAACAACAACTGAAATTACTGTTGTGGAAAAGGCAGAGCTTTCACCAACCAAAAGAAAGTCAAAGGGTCTTAAACTTTACCCAGAAGTTGCTACCACAGAGGTGACAAAGACCAAGGGAGATACTGTCATTCAGAAGCCATCTCCAGCTCAAGAATTGGTCACAACAACAACTGAAATTACCGTTGTGGAAAAGGGAGAGCTCTCACCTACCAAAGGAAAGTCCAAGGGTCTTAAACCCTCTCCAGAAGTTGCTACCACAGAGCTGACAAAGACCAAGGAAGAGCAGGTCAGTCAGAAGCCAGAAACAGCGTCAACATTGAAAAAGATACTTGAAAGATCTACTGATGTACAGCCTGAAGATACAGAGATGAAATGTGATAGTGTGAAGCCTGCCCCAGATTTAGAGGTAGTCACAGGGCTGACTGAAATCTCTGTAGTGGAAGAAACTGAAATTTTTCCTCCAAAGAGAAGGTCAAAGAATCAAACATCTTCTCCAAACATTGCGGATACAGAACCAACACAGAAAAAGGGGGAACCTACCAATCAAGAGTTTTCATCTAGTTCAAGAAAGGAAATAAAAACTGCTGTTGTGGGAGGACTTAAGCTTGCACCAACCTGGAGAAAGCCAAAGAGTCCAGAACTTTCTAGACCCACACAGATGGCTCATATGGAACCCGAACAAGATAAGAAACAGATTAAGAGTTCAGAGCTTACCACAGCTTCAGAGACCTTACCTTTTGTGGAAATGGACTCACAGCAACTACAAGCACCAGAGACCACAATGCAGAAAATTGATATTGTTGGTGAAAGACAACTTCCAATCAAGGATGATGCTAAATCAGGTGTCCCTCAACAAATGATACCTGCTGAGGAGAGTCAAACCACTGTTAAAGATGTCAGTCCAGTATGTGAGATGTTTACTCCTCAGGTTGGTGTCACCATTCAGGAGCTCCCAGGAAAGAAAGTTGCTACAGTTATTCTAGACACAAAAGTGGATACTTGTACTTCATCTCATCATGCTGTACCTTTGAAGTCTGTCCCCACACCCAGTGAATTACAGCAGTCTAAAGACAGATCTAAAGAGGCCCCACAGCAGACCATTACTCAGTCTACAGAAAGAGACTTAAGCACAGTGCCTAAAACACAGCTGCCTCTCTCCCCTGAGCCTTCTGATACACCAAGTGTGGCAGACTACATACACAAGTTATGGGAAAACACAGAAGAGAAACAGAAGCGATACCTAGTCCTCGATCTGCCTGATACAGGTGTCACACCAACACATGAAATAAAGCCAAGTCAGCCGGAGGCAGAGACTGTGGTTGAAAGTGACTCCATTCAACCCACCTCTGTGGTTTTTGCAGGGCTATGGCCTTACAAGGGAGAGAAAGACATTTCAGAAAAAAGCTCTGCTGAGCAAGACATAATAAAACCAAGTGAAACTGTGAGTCAGCTGAAAGTCACACAGGAACAACCCAAAGAGTTTAAGGATTATGATATACAGAAAGAGCATGTTAAAGTGTTGACATGTGATGTGCATGATGCACCCAAGAGTCTTGATGAAAAGTCTGTTAAGAAAATCCACTTGGAGCCTGAAGTGCGCATTTTACAACTAGATATACAAACCAGTCCAGACAAGGATGAAAATGCATCTGTCACAAAAGCAATCAGACCAATTCCAACAAGTATCCAGAGCGAAACAGTGCCAGACAACAAAGATATAACTACTGCTGATGTTGAGCCAGAGAAGGTTGCAATTAAGATGACTACAATAGAAGTGCGCGAAAGCAGTACTGAACACCATGAACAGCATCCGCTAGCATTGCCCCCAGATGAGGCAGGGACAGAATTTGTAGAAATAAGCATATCTGAGCAAGGTATGGCAAAACCAAGCCAAACTGAAACTCAAAGAAGGCACCTAAAAACCACCAAGGAAAGACCCAAAGTGGTCAAGGAACATGGTGTCCAAGAACAGCAACCGACACTGTCAACACAAAGCATTGACAGTGTACCCAAGAGCTTGGATAAAACATCTGTTACGAAGGAGAAAATCCACATGGTCCCTGAAGTGCGCATCCCACAACTTGATAAACCCACCAATTTAGAGAAGGATAAAAAAGCATCTGTCACAGCAGCAGAAGAGCCAATGAAAGATACTGCCCAAGCAAGCATCAAGAGCGAAAGCATGTCGGAAATCAAAGGCATTACCCCTGTTGATGTAAAGCCAGAGAAAGCTGCAGGTGAAATGACAAAGACGAAGGTGCAAAAAAGTGGTACTGAATGTCAAGACAGTGTAGCTCAAAGGGGCTCTGCTCAACCCACCCCTTCTGATTCTGAATCATTGCAACCACACAAAACAGAGACAGAATTTATAGAAATAAGCTTATATGAGCAAGACATAATAAAACCAGGCGAAACTGATATTAAGACAGGACTCTTGAGAACTGCAAAGGATAGACCTACAGAACTCAAGGAACATGGGGTCCAGAAAGAGCATGATTTAACCAAGAGCCTGGATGAAAAGACTGTTGGCAAGGAGAAAATCCACAAAGGGGAAAGAGTGCTCATTTTACAACCAGGTACACAAGCCACTATAAAGCAGCCTGAAGTCACATCTCTTAAGATAGCAAAGGCATCAAAGACTGATACAGATCAAACAAGTATCCAGGGCAAAAAAGTGCCAGAAAAGAAAGACATGACATCAGCGAATGTACAGCCAGAAAAGGCTGCAGATCAGAAGGCCATGGTGGAAGTGAAGACCAAGGAGAAACCCAAAGAGGTCAAGGATCGTGATGTGCAAGAAATGAAAGCTAAAGTGTTGACAACAGACATGCGTGATGCACCTCAGAGCCTGGATGAAATAACTATTGTGGAGGCGAAAATACCCAAAGGAGCTGAAGTGTGCATTGTACAACCAGGTACACGAGCAGCTATAAAGCAGTCTGAACTCACTCCTGTTACGAAAACAAAGACGCCAAAGACTGATACAGATCAAACAAGTATCCAGGGCAAAAAGGTACCAGAAAAGAAAGACCTGACACCAGCTGATGTTCAGCCTAAGAAGGCTGCAGTTGAGAAGGCCATGGTGGAAGTGAAGACCAAGGAAAAACCCAAAGATGTCAAGGATCATGACGTACAAGGAGTGCAAGCTAAAGTGTCGACAAAAGATGTGTGTGATGTACCCCAGAGCCTGGATGAAAAGACTCTTAGAATGGAGAAAATCCAAATGGGCCCTGAAGTGCGCACCCTACAATTAGATATGCCGTCCAGTCTAAAGAAGGATGAAAACGCAACTGTCTCAAGTACAGAGGAGACAAGGATAGATATAGTTCAAACAAGCATTCGGAGTGATAGAGCCCCAGAAAACAAAGATAAAACTACTCCTGCTGTCAAGCTAGAGAAGGCTGCAATTCAGACAAGAGTAGAAACACAACAAATTCCCACTGAAATGCAAGAGAATGTGATTCTCAGTGACTCCAAGCAACCCACTTCTGTTGCTTTTACAGCTGTGCAGCCAAGTGAAGAGACAACATTTGCAAAGGTAAGCTCGTCTGAGCATGACACTGTGCAACCAAGTGAAAGAGTGATTAACCTGAAGTGCATGAAAACCACAAAGAAAAAACCCAAAGAGGTCAAGGGTAGTGATGGACAAGGAGTGCATGCTGTGGAGTTGAGCATGACAAAAGACATGCATGATGCAACCCTGATCCTTGATGAAAAGTCTGTCAGTAAGGAGAAAATCCACAAAGGTGAAAAAGTGCCTGTTTTACAACCAGGTACACAAGCCACTATGAAGCAGCCTGAAATCACATCCCTTAAGATAGCAAAGGCATCAAAGAGCGATACAGATCAAACAAGTATCCAGGGCAAAAAAGTGCCAACAAAGAAAGAGCTAACACCAGCTGCTGTTCAGCCAGAAAAGGCTGCAGTTGAGAAGGCCATCATTGAGGTGAAGACCAAGGAGAAACCCAAAGAGGGCAAGGATCGTGATGTGCAAGATGTGCAAGCTAAAGTGATGACAAAAGATGTGCATGATGTACCTCAGAGCCTGGTTGAGAAGACTGTTGGGAAGGAGAAAGTCCCCAAAGGAGCTGAAGTGCGCATTTCACAACCAGGTACACAAGCCACTACAAAGCAGCCTGAAATCATGTCTGTTAAAAAAACAAAGCCACAAAAGACTGATACAGATCAAACAAGTATCCAGGGTGAAAGAGTGCCAGAAAAGAAAGACCTGACACCAGCTGATGTTCAGCCTAAGAAGACTGCAGTTGAGACGGCCATCATGGAAGTGAAGACCAAGGAGAAACCCAAAGAAAACAAGGATCGTGATGTGCCAGGAGTGCAAGCTAAAGTGTTGACAAAAGGTGTGCGTGATGCACCTCAGAGCCTGGATGAAAAGACTGTACAGAAGGAGAAAACCCCCAAAGGAGCTGAAGTGCCCATTTCACAACCAGGAACACAAGCCACTATAAAGCAGCCTGAAGTACCATCCGTTACCATCGGAAAGGCCCCAAAGACTGATACAGATCATACAAGAATCCAGGGTGAAAAAGTGCCAGAAAAGAAAAACCTGACAGCTGCCAATGTTCAGCCAGAAAAGGCTGCAATAGAGAAGGCTATGGTGGAAGTGAAGCCCAAGGAAAAACCCAAAGAGGTCAAGGATTGTGATATGCAAGGAGCGCAAGCTAAAGTGATGACAAAAGATGTGCGTGATGCACCTCAGAGCCTGGATGAAAAGACTGTTGGGAAAGAGGCAATCCCCAAAGGAGCTGAGGTGCGCATTTCACAACCAGGTACACAAGGCACTATAAAGAAGACTGAAATCACATCAGTTACTGTAGCAAAGGCTCCAAAGAGTGATACAGATCAAACAAGTATCCAGGGCGAAAAAGTGCCAGAAAAGAAAGACCTGACACCAGCTGTTATTCAGCCAGAAAAGGCTGCAGTTGACAAGGCCATCATGGAAATGAAGACCAAGGAGAAACCCAAAGAGGGCAAGGATCGTGATGTGCAAGGAATGCAACCTAAAGTGTCGACAAAAGATGTCCGTGATGTATCTCAGAGCCTGGATGAAAAGACTGTTGGGAAGGAGAAAATCCCCAAAGGAGCTGAAGTGCGCATTTCACAACCAGGTACACAAGCCACTATAAAGCAGAGTGAAATCACATCAGTTACCGTAGCAACAGCTCCAAAGAGCAGTACAGATCAAACGAGTATCCAGGGCGAAAAATTGCCAACAAAGAAAGACCTGACACCAGCTGCTGTTGAGCCAGAAAAGGCTGCAGTTGAGAAGGCCATCATGGAAGTGAAGACCAAGGAGAAACCCAAAGAGGTCAAGGATCGTGATGTGCAAGGAATGCAAGCTAAAGTGTCAACAAAAGATGTGCGTGATGCACCTCAGAGCCTGGATGAAAAGACTGTTGGGACGGACAAAATCCCCAAAGGAGCTGAAGTGTGCGTTTTACAACCAGGTACACAAGCCACTATAAAGCAGACTGAAATCACATCAGTTACAACGGCAAAGGCTCCAAAGAGCGATAAAGATCAAACAAGTATCCAGGGCGAAAAAGTGCCAAAAAAGAAAAACCTGACACCAGCTGCTGTTCAGCCAGAAAAGGCTGCAGTTGAGAAGGCCATGGTGGAAGTGAAGCCCAAGGAGAAACCCAAAGAGGTCAAGGATCGTGATGTGCAAGGAATGCAAGCTAAAGTGTTGACAAAAGATGTGTGTGATGCACCTCAGAGCCTGGAAGAAAAGACTGTTGGGACGGACAAAATCCCCAAAGGAGCTGAAGTACATGTTTTTCAACCAGGTACACAAGGCACTATAAAGCAGCCTGAAATCACATCAGCTACCGTAGCAAAGGCTCCAAAGAGCGACACAGATCAAACAAGTACCCAGGGCGAAAAAGTGCCAGAAAAGAAAGACCTGACACCAGCTGCTGTTCAGCCAGCAAAGGCTGCAGTTGAGAAGGCCATCATGGAAGTGAAGCCCAAGGAGAAACCCAAAGAGGGCAAGGATCGTGATGTGCAAGGAATGCAACCTAAAATGTCAACAAAAGATGTGCATGATGCACCTCAGAGCCTGGATGAAAAGACTGTTGGGAAGGAGAAAATCCCCAAAGGAGCTGAAGTGCGCATTTCACAACCAGGTACACAAGGCACCATAAAGCAGCCTGAAATTACATCAGCTACTGTAGCAAAGGCTCCAAAGATTGATACGGCTCAAACAAGTATCCAAGGCGAAAAAGTGCCAGAAAAGAAAGACCTGACACCAGCTGTTATTCAGCCAGAAAAGGCTGCATTTGAGAAAGCTATCATGGAAGTGAAGACCAAGGAGAAACCCAAAGAGGGCAAGGATCGTGATGTGCAAGGAATGCAACCTAAAATGTCGACAAAAGATGTGCGTGATGCACCTCAGAGCCTGGATGAAAAGACTGTTGGGAAGGAGGCAATCCTCAAAGGAGATGACGTGCGCATTTCACAACCAGGTACACAAGCCACTATAAAGCAGAGTGAAATCACATCAGTTACCGTAGCAACGGCTCCAAAGACTGATACAGATCAAACAAGTATCCAGGGCAAAAAAGTGCCAGAAAAGAAAGTCCTGACACCAGCTGCTGTTCAGCCAGCAGAGGTTGCAGTTGACAAGGCCATGGTGGAAGTGAAGCCCAAAGAAAAAACCAAAGAGGGCAAGGATCGTGACGTGCAAGGAGTGCAAGCTAAAGTGTCAAATAAAGATGTGTGTGATGCACCTCAGAGCCTGGATGAAAATACTGTTGGGAAAGAGGCCATCCCCAAAGGAGCTGAAGTGCATGTCTTACAACCAGGAACACAAGCCACTATAAAGCAGACTGAAATCACATCAGTTACCGTAGCAAGGGCTCCAAAGAGCGGTACAGCTCAAACAAGTATCCAGGGCGAAAACGTGCCAACAAAGAAAGACCTGACACCAGCTGCTGTTGAGCCAGAAAAGGCTGCAGTTGAGAAGGCCATGGTGCAAGTGAAGCCCAAGGAGGAACCCAAAGAGGGCAAGGATCGTGACGTGCAAGGAGTGCAACCTAAAGTGTCGACAAAAGATGTCCGTGATGCACCTCAGAGCCTGGATGAAAAGACTGTTGGGAAGGAGGCAATCCTCAAAGGAGATGACGTGCGCATTTCACAACCAGGTACACAAGCCACTATAAAGCAGCCTGAAATCACATCAGTCACCGTAGCAACGGCTCCAACGACTGATACAGATCAAACACGTATCCATGGCGAAAAAGTGCCAGAAAAGAAAGACCTGACACCAGCTGTTGTTCAGCTAGAAAAGAAAGACCTGACACCAGCTGCTGTTCAGCCAGAAAAGGCTGCATTTGAGAAAGCCATCATGGAAGTGAAGACCAAGGAGAAACCCAAAGAGGGCAAGGATCATGATGTGCAAGGAATGCAGCCTAAAATGTCGACAAAAGATGTGCG